CTACGAGGTAGAAGCCACATGGAGGGGACACCCGGGGGCGTGGAAGAGACTGCGGCGGCGGCGGGTGGGCGGTTAGGACTCAGGGGTGGGCCCGGCGGACAGGGATGGGGAGAGGACTGCAGGTGGACTGGGGACAGGGCAGATGGAGTACAGGGGGACAGCTAGGCCTTGTGCAGTGGTTGTATTTTGTAAACCTTGTAGTCTAATATTTAACAGTGCTCGGGCTCTAGAGTTCAAATCCAGGCTGTCCCGGCTATCGCTGCGGAAGTACAAGAAAGATGTTGAGCTTCGCTTTCCCGACCTGAAAATGGAGGTTTTGCTCCCTTCTAGGGGTTGTGGGGAAGGTAAAATGAGCAAAATCAAGACAGACTCTTGGTGGGTGCACGGCACCCAGGAAGTGCTCCATGCAGGTTACGTACCACGAGCTGGCCCTGGAGACGGACTGTGTTACGGGTGGTCGGGTGACCTCAGAAGAATCTGACGAGGCCACCTGGGGCTAAATTGTGATGGGCCTTGTATGCCACGCAGAACAACTTGAACTTGATCCTGGAGTCATTTGGGAAATTCTTGGGGGTTCTAGGGCACAGAACTAACTCAACAGTGGCCTGGCGGGCCAGTCTTAGGGCCACTTTACTTCCATGACCTTTGGCACTGCTGATTTCCCCCTTGGAGCTTTTTACTTAACCTCACACATGCCATTTTTTGTCTTGGTTCCGTTCCTCTTTTAAGTCTTGTCCCCGTCCCAGTCACCCTCAATCCGGCGGCCTGCGGAATCTGTGTGCAATGGAATTGTGATCACCTGACCCCATTAAACTTGGGAAGTGGCTGCCCACCCCCTTCAGGTAACTCCGCAGGCAGCATGAAGGAGCCTTCGGGACCGTATTCCCGCAGACTTCTCCAGAGTCACGATTTCTATGCCTTTACCTAAATTCTGTCCTATCATACGGAACCTCCGGGAGTGCCTCAGCTCTGTCACCATTTTTTGACCCCATTGTCTTGCACGGGCTGTTTGCGCACCCTTGTGCCAACTTATTAAACAAAGGAATAACAATTCGGTGGACTTTTGTCTTTGTAGTACTGGCGAACATTCTCCAGAAGGGACTAATTATGGTTGCTCTGTGACCAAAGACATGCTCTTATGCACAGTCCATCCCCTAAAATCGTGAGGCAGTGTTTCAGGGGAGGTTAACTCGCAGCCTGCACCGGTGCTTCCCAACTGCAGTTGGTACAGCGTGTGGGGCTGAGAATGGACCAGAAGAAAGGGAGCCCAATTATGGCTTAAGAATTTTTACATTGGGGTTGGACTGACGTTTTGATTATAACTCTAGAGTGGGTTTTCCGTGACAAAAATTAGTTCGTTTTAGGGATTGCAAGGGACTGGAAGATTTTTATCTCCTAGGAGTGATGGGAAGGCCAGGACCCATGCCATATCGAATATGTCATCCAGGAACATGGAGAGAAAGAAACACACTCTGACTGGAGTGGCCCAGTTCGTTGGGCGCTGTTCCACAAAGCGAAAGGTCGTTGGTTCGATTCCCGGCTAGAGCTCATGCCTGGGTTCGGTCCCCAGACAGGGTGCGTATGAACCAATCAATGTTTCTCTCCCTCTCTTTCTTTCTCCTTTCTCTTCTCTCTAAAAATAAGTAAAATCTTTTTAAAAAATTAAAAAAATAAGAAACACTAGGGCAAGTTAAAATAGGTGTCACCAGAAGGAATAACATAGTTTTCTGCTTTGTGCTGTGTTATGCTGAGTCCAGATTGTGCAATAAAATGGCTTTATTTGCCCATCTCTAGGACTGAAATAGGCTCAAAGGCTGATTGGGTGACTCCCCATTTCTTAGTGAATTTGGACTCACTGTAAAAGAAGGAACTGGAGTTGCAGCATTTTTATGTGAATGCATTTGATAATATGCTCCTAACGAAAGGATCAAGGCTCAACTAAACATTTCTTAAAATTTTTGCCAATTTTCTTCTCATCCTAAAGTGTGGTAAAAGTTCATGAACAAAGATATTTATTGATGTTTGTGAACTTCTGAAAAATTAAAATACCCATGTAAATTAAACAGCCTAAGATATTTCTTTTCAAAGGAAAACTAGGCAGTTCTTAGAAATGAGATTTCTACAGTGATTAAAAAAGTTGAAAATACTATGTACCCATAGTATATGAGTAATTGCACCATATTAAAAACCCTTAAATTGATGGCGATATATTAAAGTTTTGTTTGGATTTGGGTGTTAGAAATATGAATAATGTTTGAGCTTCTTGCTAGATTTTTGTATTTTCCAGATATTCATTCCTTCTTCCTTCCCTCTCTCCCTTCTCTTCCCCTTTCCCTCCCCTCCCTCCCTCCCTCCCTCCCTTCCTCCCTCCCTCCTCCCTCCCTCCCTCCCTCCCTCCCTCCCTCCCTCCCTCCCTCCCTCCCTTCCTTCCTTCCTTCCTTCCTTCCTTCCTTCCTTCCTTCCTTCCTTCCTTCCTTCCTGTTTACTGAGCTCCTATTCTACTTCCCAGACACCAGGAAGCTAGAGCAACCAACACAAACACCAATTCCAAATCTGATTTTGTGGCAGGTTGGGGAATGTGTTGGGGGGGGTTGGGGGGGTAAGTGAGGATGCAGGACGAATTGAAGACAATGGTCCCGGTCAGCGATGGCGGAAGCATGAATCAGACCCATTGCTCTACCCTGCTGCTTCTCACAGCAGCTCTTTCCAGGTAATTTCATCTTCCTGTTTCAGGCCTCTGCTGAAATGTAACTTCTCAGAAAGGAGTTGTAGTCCCTTTACTCTCTAACTTTGCCCTGCCCCACTCAGGCCTCCCTTCTTAAATAATGCTTATGCCTACCTGGCTGGCGCCACAGGATGAACTGACATATTATTGGTCTATTTGTTTATAGCTGTCTTTCTCCCCTAGAATATAAGCCCAAGATGGGGACTCTGCTTTGTTTGTTGTTGTATCCCTATCATTTAGAGATGTGTCCATCTGGGATATAGGGAAGCTTTAATAAATATTACCTGAATGACTAAAACGATTGCTGAATCTGTATTTTTAGCTTTGACATCTCTCCTGAGCTCCAGGTTTGTAGGTCCCATGCCGACTAAGCCTTTACAGTGAATCCTGAATATACATTGAATGCCAGATGTTCAAAGCGTCTTACATTGAGCCTCCTTCCCCAGCCAAATCTGGTTCTTGTGAAATCCTCTCCATTAAGATCATTTATTTGTCTCTCAAGTCTTCAACTCAACACAGAGGTTCCGTTGGCGCCACTTCTAGGGGAGCGCCTAAGGAAGCAGGTTGAAATGGGGATTGTCAAAGGAGTTAGGTGTGAAAGCTTTGTCCTGGGGTAGGTGCGCTGTGACACTCTAGCAAGGGGTGACATCTCCTTTCCACTTATTGATATTCTAATGCCTTTGCTTGTGCAGTCTTGTCCGATGGAGGGTTGTCTGGCCTGATATTTACATGGGAATAGCATATTCTCCTCTGGTTGATGAAGCGTGCTTACTTGTTCTAAGTAGGAAAGACCTACATGACTTAATGTGCTCTCTCTCTTTGAAATGTGCCAGAAGAAAGGGATGGGACAACTGTGAGGGCATGCTGTATATTTATTACCGATGATGAGTTCTGAGGGATATTTTTTGGTGGAGGAGGAGGAGGAAGAGGAGGAGGAGGTCACTGAAAAACAGTAATTAATACAATTTGGGGAGGGTCAACAGTGAAGTTCAATTCTATTCAGTGTATTTAAACAAGAAGTGCACACGTATAGATGTTCACAACATAACCTTTGAATTGTTCTCATGGATGTTGCCTTTTTTTTTTTTCCCGCCATGTGTCTCATTCATGCCTGTAAGAAAAAAGCCAGAGGAAAAGGCTCCCTCTGAAACTTCATGAAACCACATACACTTTCAAATTACAAGGCAACGCTTGTTACACTGGGGCGATCTCATAAACTCTCAGGCTCAAATTTCTGATTTCAAGAGCTTGGAGGCATGATGGAAAAACTTAGGGTACCAAAAATATAAGATAATATTGTTAAATCGCATGCGTGTATTCTAACGTGTCATAGGATATGTTTGCGTGTATTCTCGTCGATAACTTTCTGCGGGCGCTCCTTCATCCAGCAAACTGAATCCCCGAGCCTACTTTTGTGCCTTAAAAACGACAGGAAATGAAACCGCGGAAGACATTTGTGTTCTGCAATCCCCGCCCTCCCCTCCTGTACCTACGAGGGCACCGTAAATCCTACTTGCAGATGCTTCCAGAGACTAAAGTCATTAGAGCTGAACGAGCCGTAGGCCCTAGTGCATGTCATGTAACTGCTGAATGCCGTCAGGGAAAACACACATCTCCGGACGCACCGTTCTGCACCCGAGGCTATTGAGCATTCGAGGTTGTGCGGACACGGGCGCGGCTGCAGGAGTGGGCGGGGCGAGGAGGGGTGGGGCGGGGCCTTGAGGGCCAGGCGGATTCCGGGCCACGGGTCCAGGCGGGGCGGAGCCTAGAGGGGCGGGGCGGAGCCTAGAGGGGCGGGGCGGAGCCTAGAGGGGCGGGGCGGGCGCTTCGCTAACGGTCCTTGCAGGAGGGCGCGTGCCCGCGCCCGGCGCCTCCGAGGCCCTGGCCGGTCGGGAGCGCGCCGCCACCGCCTCCGTCGGCTCCTCCCGCGCGGCCGCGGCTTCCTCTCGCGTTTCCACCGCGGCGCCGGAGTCTGCTCCGGGGGCTGCGGCCGAGCGCGGCGGGGCGGTGCCTGTGTGCGCCATGCGGATCCCGCCCTCCGGGCCCGCGCCGGGTCTCTCGGTGCCGCAGCGCGGGCCGTGACCCGGCGCCCGCGCGCTAGGGCGGACGCGGGCCCGCGGCGAGGACGCAGGCGATGGGGGACAGGTAACCCCGCCCGGGCCGGGCCCAGCGCCACGCGGGTCCCCGCCACCGAGGCCCCGGGAGGTGGGGCGCGTGCTGGGCGGGCGCGGGCCCCACGTGGCCCCCACTGAGGGTCCCTTTGCCTTTCGCGCAGGTGGCTGCGGGTGACCGTCCTCCCCGGCTGCGTGGGCTGCAGGACCGTGGCCGTCCTGGAGTCCTGGACAGTGCGCGACATCAAGGAGCGCATCCGGGCGGAGACGGGCTTCCCGGCGTCGGAGCAGCGGCTGTGGCTCGGCGACAGGGAGGTACGGCCCCGTCCCCTTGCCCGAGCGGGAGGGTGGGCCTGCCGTCGGTAGGCTCGCCGACAGGGAGGCGGCGTGGGTTTATCCTTGTGTCATTAGAGGGTCACCCTGGAAATAGTGCTTTGTGCATAACGTGAGCACAGTGACACGGGTGTGCTCCTATCATTGTAAGTTTCACTGATTTACCGTTTCAGTCCCCCCGCCCCCATTTTGTCTGTATCTTCACTTCCTGAAATTAAGATACTTTTTTTGATGGGCATTGTAGCCAGAGGGGTTTTTGTTTTTGTTTTATTTACTTGTTTAGAGACATCATCATTAAAGTGACTTAATCATTACTCATAGTTTTTTAATGGTTATACATTGAACGCGGATACATATCCTAACCTTTTTATGTCTTAGAAATCCCCTCCCTCCAGTTGTGAATCACAGAAACTTAGACTGAAAGGCTCTTCACACATAATTTAATGAAGTTATTAGTGTGAGGAGTAAATTTCTGTGAAAACTTCTAAGGTGTAAATGAATGACTTAGCAGATCAAAACTGGAAAATAGTAGGAGTATTTCATATTGTTGTATCTGTCCTTTAGGATTGATGAAAAGACTTAAGGGAGGAGTCACATAGAGACATATCACTGAAAATTAACTTACTCTTTTTTTAAGTATAGTTTATTGATTATGCTATTACACTTGTCCCAATTTTTCCCCCTTTAACCCCTCTTCCTGGTGGCCCCCTTCCCTCTAGCAGTCCCCCCACTTAGTTCATGTCCATGGGTTCGTGCTTATAAGTTTTTCCGCTTCTCTATCTCCTACACTCTTTGTAACCTCCTCCTGTCTATTTTGTTCCTACCAATCAGGCTTCTTAGTCCCTTTACCTTCCCCCGTTCTCTCCCCTTTCCCCTCCCAGCTGATAACACTCCAAATGATCTCCGTGTCTATGATTCTGCTCCTGTTCTGGTTGTTTGCTTAATTTTTGTTTTTTTAGATTCAGTTGTTGGTAGTTGTGAAATTGTTGATATTTTAATGTTCATAGTTTTGATCGTTTTCTTAAGTAAACCTCTTTAACATTTCATGTAATAATAGCTTGGTGATGATGAACTCAGTTGGCTTTAACTTGTCTGAGAAGCACTTTATCTGCCCTTCTGTTCTAAATGATAGCTCTGCTGGATGGAGTTGTCTAGGTTATACATCCTTGCTTTTCATCACTTGGAATACTTGTCACTCAGTACTTGACTGCAGAGTTTCTTTTAAGAAAACACCTGATAGTCTTAACTCCCTTGTAAGTAAGTCTCTGCTTTTTCATGGTGCTTTTAAGATTCTGTCTTTATTTTTAACTGTGGCATTTTAATCTGATGTGTCTTGGTGTTGTCCTCTTTGGGTCCGACTTATTTGGGACTCTCTGTGCTTCCTGGACTTGTGTGTCTGTTTCCTTCACCAGATCACGGAAGCTTTCTTTCATGATTTTTTCAAAGAAGTTTTCAATTTCTTGCTCTTTGTCTTCTCTTTCTGGCATCCCTATGATTCCGATGTTGGCACTTTTGGAGATGGCCCAAATCTTCCTACTCTCTTCTCATTTTTTTGAAATTTTGTTTTTTCATTCTGCTCTGGTTGATTGTTTATTTCTTCCTCATGTTCCAAATCGTTCCAGGCTTCCTTCCCTTCACTGTTGGTTCCCTGTGAACTTTTTTTTTATTTCACTTAGTGTAACCTTCATTTCTTCCCTTATGTTTTTGCCACACACGGTGAATTCTCTGGAGCATCCTGATCACCAGTGTTTTGAACTCTGCATTTGATAGGTTGGTTATCTCCATTTTGCTCAGTTCTTTTTGGTTCTATACTCTCTTGGTTCTATACCCATTTCTTTGGTTACCCCTCTGGGTCTGCTTTGTCCATGTGTCCCCTAAAATGTCGTTGTAGCCAAAGGCCCAGTGTGGTGACTCCTGCCGTTAGAAACGTATTTGGAAGTGCCTGCAGAGCATCCATATGGGATGATGAGCATGGCAGTCATGCGCAGAGCAGCTCAGATGGGGTGGGTGGCTGGTGGGGGGCCTTCCCGGGGAACTTCCGCTAATAGGCGGTAGTGAGGTCCTAGACTGTGACGGTACAGGTTACTGAAAGGAAAGAATGCACAGGAGACCTTGAAAAATAGAAAATTATGGCAGTTTGGCATCAAATGGATGGGAGGCAGAGTTGGGGGGTAAGGAAAAAAATAAGGCAGAAGGCCTTGCTAAGGATGCTCAGAAGCCTTGAGGCGAGGTCAGCAAAATACCCTTTCAGTCAGCAGAGAGAAACACGCACAGAGGGCTCCTCGGGCTGGAGGAAAGGAGACCGGTCTGCCTTGGTACAAGGTCCAGGCGGCTGGCCTAGATCCTCCTTCCAGTCTTGCCAGTGTGACAGAGGCCACGGCAATCACCACGTGACTGACGGCCTGCTGTCCTGTCTCTGATAGGGGTGGGATCGGTGGATCCCGGGCAGTCCTAAGGTCCCTGCTGTGTGGGAGTTCCGACTAGAGAGTGATGGTCAACAGACGGACCTGGGACTGAAGCCCAAGGCAGATGCAATTTTGGGGAGTCCCTTTTTCAGCACATTTCTCCTTCTGTATTTTGTAAATGCACTAGGAATAGCATTACCATTTATTGAGCAGCTCACTGTGCCATACTCCGTCCTAAGTATCCTGTGTGTGTGTATGTATTACCTCATTCACTCCTGAAAACAGCCTCACGAGTTGGTGGTTGCTGCCCCAGGCCCCAGGCAAGTGTCAGGTCAGGAGTGGAACCCAGGTCGGTCTGATTCCCAGGTCAACGGGCTTTCTCCTGTTCCACCCCACAGAGAATCTGTTCGGGTGTCAATGAAAAAATAAATAAAGTTCTTTAAAACCGGAGGAGCGCTTGAGCCCCTGCGCATGACCTGCAAAGCCCAGCACGGAGCTCCCCAGGAGACCTGCGGAGGGCGTGGGCTGCCGGCGCAGGGAAGGCGGGCGGGGCGGGCGGACCTCGCGGTGCCTGCGCGCACCGCTCCCTCGGGGGCGCCTCTACGTGAACCAGTCTTCCACGCAGCCGGTGGGCTTTTTTTGCGTAGATTTGAATTATTGGCAAGATTCCTAAATATGTTAGGCTAGGCAGGAAACAAAAGCGGGGGGCAACTCCTCGTTACTCACTGGTTTGGCTGCTCTGGGACGGAGTTAGCAGCAGGCACCTCTAGTCTTCCATCTGTCCAGGGCACCCCCGTCCTCTTTCTACTTGTTGCTCTTTTGCGCTTCCTTTCCCGGTGGCGTTTGTGAGGTCCCGACCTCCTGACCAAAGCTGCTTACGGCAGCCGCGCACCTTTCTGCCCCTTTTTCCCACCCACACGCGAGCAAGCCGGGTCTGAAGTGTCGCTTCGCTTTCTTGTCTTTCAATGGATCAGAAAACCCCTTCCTGGCAACCCTTGAATCTTGACAACCTCCTTGTGTCCTTGACAACCGAATGAAGGAGGAAGTGTTGGGAGATCAGACTGTGATTAATGTTGTACCGTCTGCGTGACAGTTTGGAGTTACTGTTTCACGGTGGATGAAAACGAGCGCCGCCGAGGGTGCGAAGGGCGCTGCGGCAGGCGCGGGCAGAAGTCCGGTGTTCAAGGGATTGTCTCATCGCCCTGTTTTAGAAACAAAATACAAAGACTGAAACGGACAGCGTTTAGGAGTGCATTGCCTCTGGGTGTCACTTTGCCTGCTTGGAGTGACTGAAGGTCCAGGGCAGAATGAGGCCCAGGCCCAGGCCGAGTCCCCCGACCTCGGCGGCCGGCGCCGCTGCGGTGCCCTGCGCCGCGTGCCCTCCCTGCGGGAGCATCGCGCCGCGAGTGGCTCCCTGACAGCAGCCAGGCTCACGCAGCGGCTGCGTCTCTTTCCATGAACGTGGTTGGACTCCACGGCTGCTTCCTTTCCAAGTCCTCTTTGAGGCCTGGAAACTTTTTCGTGCATTGTGGTTTTCCTCCTTCCTCCCTGCCTGCCTTTCGTCCTTGGAATGTACGTTGCCTGCTGAATTGGACTAGTGATCTTTGGCTTGCACATGGCTCTTCTAGTAGTTAATTGACTAGCGAACGAACAGCAGAATGAACAACCATGGTGGCATCATCCAACTGGAGAACGAGAACACAGTTGATAGACGGTATTTACCTCTTTGCTTCTCCTCCCTGGTCTGTGTACCTGTGTCTCTTCCCTTACCCTTCTGTTTATTATTCTGTTGCCTTTTCTGTAGTTGTTTCAATAGTTTTATTGTGTGTATGTGTGTATATATATATGCATACTTGTGTTTGTGTGTGTATATATGTGTCTGTGTGTGTGTATAATCTAAATATACAACCTAGATAATATACACTTGACTTTTAGTTACGAACTTTATCAGAAGCTTATTATTCTATATGCAGTAACTTGGAATTAGCTTTTTACACTCAATATTATGTTATGAATATTTACCCAAACTTATGTGCAGTTTATTTAGTTAATTCATTTTTTATTGCTGTGTAATATCCCATTATATCAATATGTCATAGAATTTGGGTTGTTTCTAAATTTTTGTTGTTAAAACAGTATTGCTCTGGTTATTCTTTTAAAAAAATTTTAAAAATATGTTTATTGATTTTAAAAAGAGGAAGAGAGAGAAAGAGAAACACTGATAATGAGAAACATCGATTGGTTGCCTCATATATATGCCCTGACCGGGAATTGAACCCGCAGCCTTTTGGTGTATGGGACAATGCTCCAACCAACTGAGCCACACCAGCCAGGGCATGATTATTCTTATACATATTTCCTGTGCAAAGGATTTTTACAGGCTTGTGTTTAGATTCAGTGGGAATATGTATTGAAAGTGCTTCATGAACTGGGAACTGTTACATGTTCAGATTTATATGTTAGAAATGAGGATATACAAACAGTAAGGACACCAGATGGAGACTGTTATAAAAACCCAAGAGACACGGAGAGTCTGAGCAGATTCTGAACAACCAGGAGCAGAGGACAAGTTAGCTCTGAGCGAAGTTTCGGGGGGCCATGCTGGGACGCGGAGGTCAGTTGGCCGTACGGTTTGTGGAGAGAGAGGACTTCTCCTCTGCTTTCCCATCAAAGGGGCGAGCTCGAGGTGTCACTAGTCACTGAGACACAGAGTAGACAATGAGAGGCGCACGATGGCAGGAGCTAGTGACGCCACCTTGGATCAGTCGAGCTTTCTAGGAAACCCGGGGATGTCGGCGTGATAGGCTGATAGGCGCAGGAGGCAATGGGAAAACTGCAGCTTTGATGTGGTAAATGACGTCCTTCAGACCCTGTCAAAGAAGTGGAAGATACAAAGGTGGTTCTCCGGGGAGCTTTCGAGTTGAGTGACGAGTTGAGTGACATTTTGCAGACTGTTGACCTGTGAGGAGTCGCCCTGTAGCGACATTTAAGGGTGGACCTCTTGGGACAAGGTTGATCTGGCTTTGAATTATTTACCTTATTTTTCAAAAAAGGCACTCAGTTACACCGCGCCTGTGGGTCACGGTCACATATGTTGTGCCCTGCCCTTGTGAGAAGCGGAGCAGCCATCAGAAGGGATGTGAACGGCAAGCCTTGGTCAGGAAAGCATTTCAGGGAGGCTGTAGACCACCGCAGCTTCAGAGGCAGGCGTCCTCGCCTGTCCTTTGCCGTCACGCCTTCCTCGCAGCGGCACCGACTGCAGTGTCTCCCGGGCTGTTTCTAGGGACAGTGTCCTCTGAGATGCTCTTCAAAAGTAAATGGAAAAAATTCCTGCTAAATTTGCGAACCGCTGCTTAGTATAATCCTTTCTCAGAAAGTTACAATACGCATTCATATGTTAAGTGTCCTAAAACCCAAGTTATTCCACTTAATTTGAAACTTTTCTTTTTGTCCTCGACCATCTGTTGACTGAGCAGTACACTTTGGAAATGCTGGCCAAAGGAATGACTTTGTTTATGTTGATGATCCTGATCCATCATAAAAAAATGTAAATTATTCTGAAGCAGAAATATGTGTATCTTTATTTGTAATTATTTATGGGAAAATCTTTTAAATGTTTAAATAAAATGCTTGGTTAAATTTCCAGTCTTCGAAACATTCACTTCTCCCAGCAGCTTATTTCTTGATAAGAAAGGTTAACAAGCTTTATGTCTTAAGTGAAAAAAAAGATGATAATGTTTTGAATTTACAGTATTAAGAACTATATTGCTTTTCATACATTGTATTTATTTATTTTTTTCAGTTACCTGACTGGATCAAGATTGGAGATCTGACTTCCAAAAATCATCATCTATTTGTAAATCTTCAATCAAAAGGCTTAAAAGGGGGAGGTATAACCTTGATTTTACCAGGAGACTGTGCCGTTTTCAGTTGACTAGAGACTATGGTTTAATAGTGAAATGACAGCCGGTCGCCCTGGGGTGTGCTGGGGGCCATCAGGGCAGCGGAGGGCGCGGGCAGGTGGGGCTGGCGAGCTACGGAATGGGGGGCTGGTTTGGGGAGCAGCCGGGGTTCAGTCTTGGTGGATCATTGTGCCAAAATGATGCAAATAAATTTATGGTGAGGATTTTGTTTTTTAAGCACAGATTTATTTTTCCTTATATCCAGATGGTTTTTTTTTTTTTTTATTCTGTGCATCTGAGAAATTACTTCCCTTCCCCCGATCCTCCCTATACGTCCCTGTCCCCAGTCTGAAGGTGACCTGGTCAGCCAGGTCTAAGAATCTCCAGTTTGGAAAGGCTTACGGGTGTTTGACCCAGACAGCCACGGGGGCCATAGCTGGGCGGAATGTCAGAACAATCCGGACATCAGCGGAGTCTGGAAACACTAACAATGTCACGAGCAGCACTGTTATCTCTGGCTTATTGAACAGAAAGCACCGTTTATTTATTTCAGTTGTTTTGGAAAATAACAACGCCCCCTCTCCAAAGCTCTTTATTTTTGAAATAAGACTCTTTTGTGACATTTTGTATATTTTTAAACGTTTTTAAAACTGAATTTGTAGCTTAATGAAAAATGTTGAGATTTGATCAAATTGAATCTGCTGTACTTTGCACTGAATCTTTGGTAGGAAGACGTTCTTACCCGAGAGGGGCAGTAAGACAGGGAGTTTTAACTTGTCAAATTCTACTCTGTCTGGGGACCAAGTAAAGCGCTGGTCACAGGCCGCGGGATTTTTTCTTTTTTAGGTCGATTTGGTCAAACAACTCCACCACTTGTGGATTTTCTCAAGGACATTTTAAGAAGATACCCAGAAGGAGGACAGATTCTTAAGGTAGGGCGTGTGCCGTGCACGTGTATGAATCCGCTTTGATAAACAGGAGGGGGAGGAAAACGGCCTGGAAGTGCGGTTAGTGTGTGTGTGTGTATGTGTGTACACTTCCGCCGAAACCGGCGCGGCCGTCTGTGTTCCCCAGGGCACCTGCGGCACGTCCGCTGCCCGGCTGGGCTGGGGGGCGGGGGCGGGGGGCCGGGAGGGCGGCCCGCGCGCGCCGCCGAGGCCTCAGAGGCCTAGGGCGCTTTTGGCGGTTTTGTATAATCCTGTAACGTAATTTCATGCAAAACATTGTGCGGTGGCGTTGCAAACGTACCAGCCGGCCTCACAGACAAGAAAACACAAAGCCCACGTTCAGGGGCCGCGAACCTGTGCTCGGGTGACTCCCGGATCCAGAGGTCTGCTTTGGGGAGGGTGATTTCAGTTATTTAAAGCTGTTTTATGATATGGTCTTTTAGTTTGAATGCTCTTATTAAAGACTTGTGTTTAAGCTTAATAGGAAACCTCCCTCGTTGTAAAAGTAGATCAGTTATTATGCGTTCTCCTTCTCATTAATTTATTGTTTATTATCTCCAATATCTTAGGCCTTATTATATTTTCTAGTTTAGATGGTAGATTTTTAGAAAATAAGGGCTGAGTTTACTTAACTCTGATGCGTGCTGGGTGAGGCTTGCTGCGTCTTCTGTGACATTTGTAATGACACTGTCCTTTCAGAACAGGCATCGCTGATTCACAGGACGTTAATTTACAAAACATTTTTACCTTGAGATATTAGGAATGTGAAGATGGGAAGAGTATGGTCATTGGGTTGTAACAGGGTGGAGAGGTGAGGAGATGCACGTAGAAGTGAGGATCTGGCGGCAGCCGCGGGGGCGGAGGGTCGCCCACTCAGAAGAGCGTGGCAGGCCCTGGCGGTAACCCGGGCAGCGGCTGCGGGGGCTGCGCGCGCCTTCTCACAGCCGGCACGCAGCTGCCGCTTCGTGCTTCCTCTTCGCTGGCCATGCACGTTTATGTACAGGCCAGCGGGACATTGTCTTTGTTCCTTGGATGTTTTAGTAGCATTCGACCGTTTTAGATTTAATAGGATTCTTAGGCGTCACCTAGACTTAGACTGCGCCTTTTGTGATGTTTGCTGAAAGGTCCAGAGACACTTGAATGACTTGCCCAAGATCATGTGCAAGTTGGCACATTTATTGCCTCTTCTCAGAATTGATTTGAAAGAGATCCCATTCTATTTTTTGTTCAACTTGAGACCGATAGTGGGAGCCCCTGTGAGCAGCAGGCAGTTGTGTGAACAGGAGGGATTTGTGGTCCGTGAGGAGGTTGACGAGGGCGCGTTTGGGGCCGGCGGCAGGTGGGCAAGGCCCCCACCTTCTGGTGTGCACCCGGCGAACCAGCGCCTCGCCCGGCCCCGCAGCTGGCTCTTCAGTCCTGTGATGTCCCCTGCAGAGTCTGAGGGCCATCTCATTGCAGGCGGGCACCGTGCCACCTCTGCTCTGATCAGGGCTCCGCCGCTGGCATTGCCCTCTCAGTCCCTGCCCATCCGCAGCCTCCCCCCGAATGCCCGCCCCAGTTTAGTGATACCGAGATGCTGGAAAAGTTAAAAAACAGTCCTCCCCAAAGTTAGAGGTTATGAGTGTAATGATACAGGGCGAACTGTTGTTTCTAAAGACCTGTCCATTTAAAGTGGAACCATCGGAGCGGGTTTGACCGAATCTCAGCTCATCCAGCCCCGGTCATGTGTTGACTTGTCCTCACTGTAGACAAGGTCCAAGAGGAACTCGGGATGATATATCTCTGGATTTACAATGTTCTGTTTAATGAATAGTCTGATTACCGCTTACTGTTTCCATCTCTGGAAACAAGTCTGGAGTTTGTTTCAAGCTCTGATGATTGTGGAGTTGGCCTTAGGAGCTGGACTCTTATTTCAGAGTTTGGAGCTCCCAACCCGATCTTGGTAGGGGTGCCAAAGTGGCAGGGGCTGGGGAGACTGGGGGTTTTTGAGGCTTCCGATGGGTGTGTATCTTGTAGTTTGTCCTTTCCTCCCGCATTCCAGAGCTTCCACTGCTCGTTGGCCTGTCATTCACCCATCCGCCCACTTGGTGGGGGTGATATTACCCACCAGAAAGTATTACTGCCTTTTCAATGACAGGGAGAAGTGCTTACCTTCAAGAAACTTGTTTCTCAGTACAGGAGAAAGACATGTTCATGACTCAGGTTCCCAGCAATGAGGCATACCGTACACGTAGACTGGTACATTTTTTTCCTAAGAGAAAGGTAAGCAAATGATAAATAAAGGTCTTTTTTGGTAACTGCTTGAGGATGGGCACGTGTCCAAGGTGGCAGCGCGGCCTGTGGCACAGGAGCAGTTTCTTTGTAGGAAGCCTCGGGCAGATTGTAAAGAAAGGCAGAGCCTAGAGAGTGAATAGCCTCAGGGTTTGTGTTACAGGCTAGGAGTGGCAGGCTTTAAAACAACCGCCTTCCCCATGGTTGAGGAAGGACTCGCCCTCCCAGCCGAGCGTAGCACCCTCAGCAGGTCTCAGAGATAATGGTGCAAGTGGCGGGTCTCCTTCACTAACACGTGCCTGCTTTTTAAACGTTACAGGTGAATACAGAGATGGGCAGTGGGTCACTGTATCAGGAAATGTTCTTTTCTGTCTATTTCTTGACTAGGAATTGATTCAGAACGCAGAAGATGCAGGGGCCACCGAAGTCAAGTTTGTCTATGATGAAACTCAATATGGGACAGAGACTCTTTGGTCAAAAGATACGGCGCATTATCAGGGTAAGACTCAGCGCTTGGGAACGAGTTTTAGGTGCTCACGGGTCGTTTTTAGTGATTGACCCCATTCTGTTTAACGAATAGTCTGATTGCCGCTCGCCCTTCTCCCTGGCACACTCATCCCCCGTCTAAGGTGTAGCCACGCGAGAAGAGGCTGCTGGCTGCCGGAAGGTTCTCCATCGCTCATTTGGGCGGGTGTTACACAGGTTATTCCTTTTGTAAGAAATCGTCAAGCTGTGCACTTAAAACCCTGTTGTATATACAGGGTGTGGTAAAAGTAGGTTTGCCGTTGTTTGTATGGAAAATAATACAATCATTCATAATAATACAAGAATAAACTGCGTTTCATGTGCTCACAACTGTAAACCTACATTTGCCCCATTCTGTATGCTATATACTTCAAGAACGTTGTCAAAGAAAAGTATTAAGTCTTTTTACGGTATGATGAGTTACTGTAGTTAAACATATTCAAAGAATATTAGAGATTCTGAGGATATGTCTCGAAAAATAGAGTTCCAAAAATATATTGTACAGTTACCACTTTTTAAAGGATCTGCTTTGGAGACAGGATATTTTACATTATATAAGCTATGCCTTATAAGGTGATTATTAAACTTATTTAAAAGATTACTGTACAGCTTTCGAAATAATACATTAACAAGGCTTCTGCAGAGAGAAAGTCTCCTTAGTATATTTACAGGTAATCTCATTTGCAAAAACATTTTAATATGCTATTTAGAAACAAGTTGTACACAGTGGTGCACTGATTAATGTCCTTGTTTGCTCCATGCTGTGGGCGTTTAAATACCATAATGCCCTCAACTTGCCCTTTTTGAATTTTTGGCCAACATTGCTCTATTTCTTCTGCTGGTAACTTTACCATTAATCTATGTTTTATTTTTATTGTGGAAACAATTGGAGCTGTAGTACCGAATTCAGTCATAGCCATTCCGTTCATGTCTCCGCGTTGTCCCATCAAATGAGCCACTGCGCGTGGCGCGAGGTCGCGGAAGCCCTGAGCCCCGCCTGCGCCACGCGCCATGAGTCGTGTGCTCTCCCGCCAGGGGCCGCCCTGTACGTGTACAACAACGCGGTCTTCACGCCCGAGGACTGGCACGGCATCCAGGAAATTGCAAGGAGCAGGAAGAAGGATGACCCCCTGAAGGTTGGAAGGTTTGGGATTGGGTTCAATTCGGTCTATCACATAACAGGTACAGTATTTGGTGTCAGTCTTGATATTGAAACTTATTTTAGCCTGTAGTTTATCATTTACTTGGTTAACTTCAGCAGGTGATACTGTTTTAAAAGGCATCTTTTCCAAATTCTTTTGTCAGTGGTAAGAAGTATGTCGATAAAATATTGGTGTGTCTTGAGTGTTCAGAAGTTACCATGGTAACTACACCAGAGTTTCATCTTGTGATGCTAAAAGTTGATGTCATCATGATGCAGTGTAATCAGTGTAATATATGAGGTGGGGACCCCCCAGAAACGGGAATTATCTTCTGGAGGGCAGGCCCTTTGTAGTACAGGCTTCCGCTGCTAGGTGAGTGTTCTAGGAACCCCTCTGGACCAGTGGACCGGCTGGCGTTGTTGTGAGAGGCTGCGTTCAACTCCCGTGAACTGTTCTTGAAGACTCTCTTAGCGCGTTTGCCCATTTCATGACGGGTGATGTACGAGCGCACCTGCCCACACCGTGCTGTGTGTTCAGCAGTTTTTGACCCAAAACAGCATGACCCCCCGCCTCAGCCTCCCTACTTACCCAATCTTGCAAGTTTTTTTTTTGTTTGTTTCCCTGAATGAAAAAAGTCCTTAAAGGGAAACATTTTGTAAGATGTGGAAGAGGTGAAACAAAAAATGGCAGAAGCACTAAAAGGCACCCAAACTGATGAGTTCAAAAACTTCATTGAGCAGTGGAAAAAAAAGTCCCATGAGGTGTATTGTATCAAATGGAGAGTACCTTGAAGGTGACTGAAGTTCAAACGTGTAAGAATAAAGACAGTTCTTTATAAATAAATTCCAGTTTTTTTGTCCCCCCTTGTATTAAGTCACTTTATGCGGGGTTTGAAATGTAGCGCTTGACTTGCCTACCCAGATTGTTACTCTCAGATATTTTACACTGGAAATGTTTGACTCAGGCAGACTTACTCTCACAGATTTTCTTGTACAGTTTTTTAAATATCAGGAGGTTAAAGAGGAAAGGATAATATCCAGGGGTATCGAATAACTGACAAAGTGAAGACCTTTGAGGTGATTCTTGTTTCTCTACATTTTTCTCATAAAAATTTTTCTCTTAAACTTAGGAGTATTTTAAAGGTCACTTTGAAATCAGATTTTGAATCTAGAAAGACTGTGGGGTTTCTGTTTCAGAGTCACAATAGGAAATATGTGAAGCTCAGAGTAGACATCTTTAGAAATATACGCATGGCTGTTCTTGCAGAATCAAAGCTCTTAGCATTTACTACACTTTGTGATGAGAAGTTTTTATGGAACTGGCCCTTGCTATAGTTTCGTTTCAGACTGCTTTGCATTTTGCACTTGGAGGAGAAGGCCAGGTTGAGCTGGCAGAGCTATAAGCGTAGCTGGGTGATGATGTAACGTGTCATCCAAACTGGGACACTCAAGGGACTATACTGTCCTCAGATGAGTGGCCTAAATCGGGACCGCTCTGCGTGCGTGGGATGTAGGGCCAGCCTCATGACAGCCCAATTTAGGAAGCCTGTTTTTTTTCTATTGCATTTACATTATAATATAGTGTATAATATTGCATTAAGTAATACTATGTATATGACAAAATAATATTAACTTATAAATTATAATACTGTGTAATGATTATACGTGGATATGGACATTCATGCATCCAGCCGTTCGCAAATCCCGCCTCGGGTCAGCTTTTAAAGTCCGTGGGGCACCCCTGTGAATGGCACGCATGGAGACGGCCGGGCAGGGCAAGCGGGCACGGCTCAGCTAGCGTCCGGTCGGCGGCCCGCGCGTGCGTCGCCCTGCGGGCTTGCCCCGTGGGAGAGCCAGCGTGCAGCGAGCGTGCAGCGTGCGTGCAGCGTGCGTGCAGCAGTGGTCACTGGAGCGCTGTCCTCTGTCCTCAGGGTTTGCGGGGGTCGAGGCTCCTGCCGTGCGACCATCCGCGGTCTCCCTGGCGTCGTTTCAGTAGCGGGAGTGCACGCAGGCCACGGTGAGAGTCATGGACCACATTTGTGATCGGGGTAGCAGCTGGGCTGGTGGACGGAACGTTTCCTGCTTAAACACCTGAGAGCTCAGGAGTCGGTGGTTGGGTCGATGGCGCCTGCAGCCAACGACCACAGATGTAATATTAAAGGTGGGCTTCGTTGGAGGTGCGTCTTACTAGAAGGTCAGGTGATGCAGTCAGCACGCAAGGCAAAACTTGTCAAGATTACCCTTGCATCCCATCCTGAGACACGTGTCCTTTGGGGCCAGTGCACCAACCACAAGGTACACCTGTTCTCAGACAAGTTAAATTGGCCTTCAAGAGCAAGGCTCCTGGCTTCTAGTACAAGATGGCAGAGTAGGAAAATCCTGAGCTCACCTCTTCTCGACACTAAAGCTGCAACTACATATAGAACAACTGTCTGTGAGAACCACCTGAAGACTAGCAGGCCAGACTTTCTACAAGGACAGGTACAAAATAAAAGCCACACTGAAACGGGTGGGAGGGGTAGAGGCTAAGCCTAGTCAGGACCTCCCCTGCCTCCCACTCCTCACTCAGCGACTCACAGCGGGACAGATGCCACAACCGAGGCTGTTGTCCCCAAAGAGCAGAGGCTCCGAGCCTGAGCCTGGTTGACCTACACCGGGAAGTGGAGCCCTGAGGACACCCGGCTTTGGTAACCAGGGGGCCTGCATCGGGGAGGCCGAGGGGAGTGGGAAGCCCGGGCCGCACTCCCTCCGGGTGCTGGTCCAGAGGTGGCATCTGAAAAGTGCCTAGGTCGCATGTGAAGGCAGCGCACTCACTCGTTTCCGGGTGCGTGCTGGAGGGACAGGGACTTGCTTGAACTTGCTTTTGCGTCAGAAGCGTGGTGGGTGCCCTTTTCCCCTCTTTCTTAACCCAGCTGGTCTGACACAGGCAGACACCTCATCTGACGCTGTATGTGAACCTTGCTAACACTCTTCGCCCTGCCCTGACATCTTCCCGGGGACCGACCCAGGGTAGCACCCCTCCAGAGCACCTCCTGCCCTGCCACACCCCGTGGGCGGCCTCATTTGGCACCGGCACGCAGCAGTGCGACTGCCACAGCGGGGCCGGCCTTGCCGCCAGCGCGCCGGGGGCTCGCCTGCCCGCCAGGGAGCCTGCAGCACCTGGGGCCAGGCCGCACGGCCAGGGGGCGGGGGTCAGGGGTCAGGGGCCAGCAGCCAGCCCCACCTGCCAGCTTGTCCATACGGCTGTGGCCCGGCAGCAACAGGAGGCCGCACTAGTCTACCCTCTGGAGCACCTGGTTCTGGTGACAAGGGGGACACCTAAATTTCTAAATAAGGCCACTTTTTTTAAGAGCAGGAGATTTAGCTGACTACCTAATACATTACATAGAAATAAACAGGCAAAATGAGGCTAGAAAAGAACATGTTCAAAAAAGAAAAAAACAAACAAGGTCAAAACCCCAGAAAAAAATAAATGAACCTGAGGTAAACTGTCTACTAGATAAAGAATTCAAAGTAACAGTCATAAAGATGCTCATTCAACTCTCCAGACAAATGGATAAACTCAGTGAGACTTCAGCAAAGAGATAAAAATGATTAAAAAAAGGACCTATCAGAACTGAAGACTTTAACAACTGAAATGAAAAATACACTAGGGAACCAACAAGTCAGATGACACAGAAGAATGGATTAGCAATGAGAAAAACAGGACAGTGAAATCACTCCACTGAAGATGAAAAAGAAAAAAAGAGTGAAAAAGATTGAAGATAGCATAAGGGACCTTTGGGACAACATCAGGCGTACTAACATTAGAATCATAGGGGTCCCAGAAGGAGAAGAGTAAGAGAAGGGACAGAAAACCTGTTTGAAGACATAATGGTTGAAAACCCCTGACCTGGCAAAGTAGACAGTCATCCAAGTCCAGGAAGCACAGAGACCCAAACAAGATGAACCAAAAAAGATCCACACCAAGAGACATTATAATTAAATTGTTAAAAGTTAAAGATAAAGAAAGGATCTTAAAAGCAGCAAGAGATAAACCACTAGTTACCTAAAAGGTCGTACCCATAAGACTATCAGCTGACTTTTCCACAGAAACTTTGCAGGACAGGAGGGAATGACATAATACATTCAACATGATGAACGGAAGGAAACCTGCAACCAAGATCCTCTATGCAGCAAGGCACCATTCAGAGTTGAAGGAGAGACCAAGATTTTCTCAGACAAGCAAAAGTTAAAGGCGTTCATCACCACTAAACCAGCATCATAAGAAATGTTAAAGGTAATTCTTTAACTGGAAAAGAAAAGGTAAAAACTAGAAGTAAGAAAATATATGGAAAAAAATCTCACCAGTAAAGGCACACATATAGTAAAGATGGGAGACCAACCACTTACAAATCCAGTATGGAGACAGTTAAAATGGCAGTAAGGACACACCTGTCAATATATACTTTAAGTGGAGATTGAGTAAGTGCTCCATTGAAAAAACATAGGATGATTGAATGTATTAAAAAACAAAAAAACAGGAGCCCTATGTATACTGTCCTCAAGAGACTCCAGACTAACAGACACATGGAGACTGAAAGTAAAGGGGTGGGAAAGATATTTCATGAAAATTGAAATGAAAAAAGAGAACCTGGGATAGTAAGAATTATATCAGATGAAATAGACTTTAAAACAAAGGCTATATAACAAGAGACAAAGAAGGACCCAGCAATTCCCCTTCTGGGGGCTTCTCTGAAGAAAATGAAACAATTCAAAAAGACAAGTGCGCCTCCGTGGTCAGCGCAGCATTATTTGCAGTAGCCACGGTATTGAAGCGACCCAGGCGCTCACCGCTAGGTGGACGGATAGAGGCAGGGCGGGTGTGTGTTGCGGTTGCACGCACACGCACTGGACTAGGACGCAGCCGTGAAAAAGAATGAAATCTTGCCATTTGTGACAACACGGATAGACCAGGGGGTATTACACTAAGTGAAATAAGTCGGAGAAAGACAAATGCTGTGTCATTTCACTTCGGTGTGGAATCTCAAAAACTAAAGAAATAGCAAACTAACCACAGATACAGAAAAACTGGTAATTGCCCAAGGGCTGGGCAGGGGGCTTGGGGGAGAGGTTGAGGGGATTAGGAGGTGCAGACTCGTGGTTGTAAGAAAGTCTCGGGGAGTAAAGTACAACACAGGGGATATTAACACCACAGCAGCTTTGTACGGTGACAGGTGGACAGTGGACTTTGTGGGGGTCACCTTGGAAGGTCTCTAAATGTGAACTCTCACTATGTTATGCACATGAAACTAACATAATATTGTATGTCAACTGTACTTTAATTGAAAAGAGCTGTACATTCCAGAATAAAAATCAGACACGGAAAAACAAAAAGATTACCCTCAGGAAGTCTTTAAAGGCACGTGCTGAAGAATCTCACAGTAAAGCGCTTTTGGCACGTCTGGTTTCTCTGCAAGTGCTAAAATATTCTTTGTCTTTGGCTGAAGAATAGGCAAAACAATTGGTGTCAGTTTAGGGCCCGTGCTGTACAAAAAAACGCTTCCCTGGAAGCACTGGCCTTGGGCTCAGCGAGGTGAGTTGCTCCCAGGCTGCGGGCACCCGCCAGGAAGCCGGGGAACCGGAGCGCCTTCCGCACTCCCCTGGGGGCCCATGTGCCCAGGGGACCAGGGTGGCCGTCACCTGTGCTGCCGGCTCTCTGCCCCTCCGCCATCAGGGTATCTGCCGCTGACGTTCTTTTGAGCATAAGATGCAACTCTCTTCTGTTTAGTTTAATTGGGTTCATGTGGCTGTGGGGGCTGAGTGTCAACATTCAGTTCCTCTTACACATTTTAATTGTTTAATAAGTGTTTGAAGATAGATCTTAGGTTTTCATAATAATCGTGGAAAGTCTCTATGCCTTGTACTTACGGAATCAAATGAGAAATTGCTACCTTTCATGTTCAAAGAATTAATTTTCTGAGCTAAATTAGGAGTTTTTTCCTACATAAATCTGTTTTGGAGTCATTGTATGGCTTACTCTTTTGCATGTGAAATATTTTGATAGTAATTGTGCATTGTAATTGTAATTGTCCATTAAATTTCAGACTTGATCATGATGGTTGAATTTTCCTTTACAGATGTTCCTTGTATTTTTAGCGGTGACCAGATCGGGATGTTAGATCCTCATCAAACGCTTTTTGGTCCACACGAATCAGGTCAATGTTGGAATCTCAAAGATGACAGCAAAGAAATTAGTGACCTTTCAGACCAGTTTGCGCCATTTATTGGCATTTTTGGAAGCACCAAGGACACGTTTGTAAAGGGCAGTTTCCCAGGGACATTCTTCCGCTTCCCCCTCCGCCGGCAGCCTTCGCAGCTGAGCAGTAACCTCTACGACAAGCAGAAGGTCCTGGAGCTGTTCGAGTCCTTCCGGGCGGATGCAGACACAGTGCTGCTCTTTCTGAAGAGTGTGCAGGACATCTCCTTGCACGTCCGAGAGGCTGACGGGACGGAGAGGCTGTTGTTCAGAGTGACCGCCAGGGAGGATGAGGCTCTGACCCCGGAGCGGCCGGAGGCGGTCAAGGCGCTGGGGGCTGCTATCAGTAACTACTGTAGAAAGATTCCAAGCAATAGCATAACCTGTGTAACATACCATATAAACATAGCTTTAGAAGACGCAAGTACAAAGGACACACAAAAGACATCTTGGCTGGTGTGCAACAGTGTGGGTGGGCGAGGGATTAGTAGTAAACTTGATTCTTTAGCGGATGAATTGAAGTTCGTCCCAACCATCGGAATAGCCATGCCTTTATCAAGCGGAGATGACGAAAAAGGAGCGACCTCTGATTTCTCCGGAAAAGCATTTTGCTTTCTTCCCTTGCCGCCAGGCGAGGAGAGTAAGACAGGCCTCCCCGTTCACATCAGCGGGTTCTTCGGCCTGACCGACAACCGCAGGAGCATCAAGTGGCGAGAGCTGGACCAGTGGAGAGACCCGGCCGCCCTGTGGAATGAACTTTTGGTCGTGAACGTCGTCCCCAAAGCCTACGCTACTCTGATCTTAGATTCCATCCACCGCCTGGAGTCGCAGGGGAGCTCCGGCTGTCCCTTGTCGGTGGACACCATCTACAAGCTCTGGCCCGACGTGAACAAAGTCCGGGCACACTGGCAGCCGGTGCTGGAGCCGCTGTTCGCCGAGCTGTTCCAGAACGCAGTAGTGTGCTCCCTCAGCGGCCGCTGGGTTCGGCTGGAGCAGGCGCACTTCTCCGAGCTGGACGAAGGTTTGGAGCGCACCGGGACGGTGCTCCGCTACCTCCTTGGCGCAGGGAAGCAGGTCGTGAAGGTGCCGGCGCACCTGGCCGCGGCCGTGCAGCGGGCCGCCTCCCCCGAGAGGCCCGTGCAGAAGGTGACGCCCGCCTGGCTGCGCCAGGTGCTGAGGAAGTGCGCGCCCCCGGGCAGCGCCGAGGACAGGCTCCACCTCCTGGAGTTCGTACTCTCCGACCAGGCCTACGGGGAGCTGCTGGGCTTGGAGCTGCTGCCCTTGCAGAGCGGCAGCTTTGTTCCTTTCTCCTCCTCTGTTTCGGATCAGGATGTTATTTACATTCCCTCGGAAGACTATCCAAGGTACGGTCCGCTCTCCGCCTGCTCCTTGGTGCTTAGGGACACGCTGCCCCGGGAGCGTTGGGAGTCCTTCACCGTGCAGTGCAGTGATCTGTGTAGATTTTATACAAAAGGAGACTTGTGCAGGAAGGTAATACTTTGTTTAAAATACGAGTGGATACATTTTATATCCTAAAGTGAAAAAAACATTCAGATGTTTATCAATTAAAAAGATAACCAGAGCAGTCATAGATTTTTTGGAAATTTTAATAAGAAAATACTGAAAACAATGGTTATTACGTGCTAACAATAACCTAGTCAGATTTGCCAATGAATTATTTTATGAAATTCAATTTAAATGAATTAAAATAGAGTATTAAGTCATTCTTTGTAACGAAGGATGGTGCATATTGGCATTTCAGAAAATGAAATGAACTTCATTCTGAGGCATTTAGCCTGTTTCTGGATACGCATGTGGTGCATGGTACCCTCATGATTTAAAGTGAAGACTCATTGACATCTGGTCAAAAAGCATTGCTGTGTGATTTAAAGTTTGCTCTGGTTCATGTAAAATAGCGTATTTAGAATTGTTGGGAGATCGTAATTGCTGTGGCCCTTTCGCTTTTCAGGTCCCTTTTCCCAGGTCTTGACGGCAGGTTTATTTTGGACAACTTGAAGCCACACCTTCTGGCTGCTTTGAAGGAAGCTGCCCAAACCCGAGGTATGGTGATTGGTTTTGGTTTTGTTTTTAATTCCCACCTGAGGGTGTGATTTTTAGAGTGAGAGGAAGGGAGAGAAAGAGAAATATCAATATGGGAGAGAAACATCGATCATTTGCCTCTTGTATGTGCCCTGACTGGCAATTGAACCCTCAGCCTCTTGGTGCGTAGGACAGTGCTCCAGCAAACCTGAGCCACTGGGCCAGGGCAGCGTTTTTTGTTTGTTTGTTTTTGTTTTAATAAACCTATCTATAAAAATATAAGCAGTTTTTATAAGCTTTCTGTTAAGTTGAACAAATATGAAATTGCCAATAGTTTTCGATTCTAGACCTCTAAGTCCGCAATTTCATATGGCTGAGCCTAATCTAATTGTTATATATTAAGATGTCTCAGCCTTGGGTTCCGACATCTGCAGGAACCCAAGGTCGGGCTGCTGTCTGAGCCGCTCTCCGACCCCGCCCACTTCTGGCAGCTGCCCGGCGCTTTACCTCCCTGCGTCCTCCTTGCTTCCACCTCCGAGCCCCCGGCCTCCGCCCCCGGAGTGTGGGCCGCAGGGAGGGCGGCTACGGGCCCAGGCTGCCCGGACGAGGGCGGAGAGAACGGGGATTCAGGGTCTGCGGCGGCTGCTGCCGCGCCCCGGCCTCCACCGGGCGGCCTCGTTCATTGCTGGGGCCGCCCGCCCGCCCGCAGCGTCGGTCGGCCGCTGCGCAGGTCGCTCCGGGGAAGTGCGGGCAATCGGGAAGGCAGCTCGGCTGCTGTGTTGGGAAAGGGCCCCGTGGGGCCTCGGCACAGCGTGGCTGTTCCTCGCGGAGAACTCCTTTTAGGGAAAGACAGAATGGTTGGGGGGGAATCACGTGGTTCTCGGACGGATACAATCCCGAAGGTTTTGCTGGCCTCCTTTCCCCCTAAGGCTATTGCCTGAACTTTCTCTAAGTCAGGCATTGGCCTGAAAAATTCTGGATTTGTCCCACCAGTTAAGAGTTGTCAAGCGTATTTTTTTGTGATGTGTGTTCTATAGCGTACGCCATATTCTTTTCAAAGATAATGACAGAAGGAAAAGTTGTAATATCTTAATTAATTTAAATATAAGGGAAAGGTGTTAGAATAGGGGAAGCAAATTAAGAGTGGCGTCAAAGTGAGACTAAAGGCAGATCAATATGTAAATGCTATTGACCGCAAGGAATCGGCAACTCTGAGGCAGCAACTGTGGCATTGATGGCAACTGTCCCCTTCTAAGCAGCCTTTTTGGGCGTCTCATCCTGCCATGGTTTGCTCCAAAGTTTTAGAAATCTGTATTTTTCAAATTCATTAATTCTGGTTTGAAGGCTTTATTCTGAAATACAATGCACCTCCAGAAAAGCAGACGTATCTTAAAGGTCAGCGGAGCAAAACGTCGAGAACCGAGGCCCCTGGATCAAAACCAGAAGCTGCCCGCGCCCAGCGGCCCCTTGTGATGCCCCTTCCAGCCCCGCCCGCTCGGGGTGACCGTGATGCGGAGCCCTGGCCGCGCCGGCGAGCTCAGCCGGTCCCTGCGCTCTCCACGCAAGGAGTCACGCGGGGCGTCCCTCTGCGTCTGCCGCTGTGACGCGCAGCTGTTTCTGCGGTCGCCCCGGCGGTCGCATCGATTGTGGGTCTTCCTCTCTCGTCGCTATGGTATTTCATCGTGCCGCGTGTTCCCTCCTTTCGAAGGGAATATTTATGTTTAAGTCTTTTTGTTTAACGTAAGTTTAAATTCACATGTTAGCCTAGGTAATCCGACATGTTTACGGAGTTGAGTCTTCCCCCGTTGTGTCTTCATTTCCTCGTCGGCTTTGGATTCTGATTCGGGATGTGGGGATTATACCGTGCGCGCCGTATTTCGTCCCTGGTTCTGGGTTAGTTTTCTTTAGGCTGTTACCCTAGATGGGATGTCTTCGCTGGTTCTGTTTGTCACCCATGATGTGTGGCGTGGGTCATCCAGAAATTGTCTTCATGGTCACTTTTTTTACCTTGATTTAAATGTTTGGCTACCATTCTTATTATTTGATAATCCCTTTCAGTATTTTTATTTGGCTATAAATGGGTGATATATAATCATCTCCTGGGCATCTTCCTTATTATATTTATATCGTTAGTTCCAGAAAAAGTAATTTTTATCCCAAATAAAAGTTACTTTATTGCCATGAAAGGTTTTAACATTTGGGGAGCATTACAATGGAGGGACTGATGGAGACCCCAGAAATGACCCTGGCTTTCTTTTCGGAGATCGGAGTCAGTGAGGATGCGCAAGAGGGAGCCCGGCAGGCCCAGCACTTGCCGCCGGCGCCGGTGCCCCCTGTGCGGCCGCCGCTGTCTCCCGAGCTGCCGTGCCGCCCTCCCAGTCTCACGGGAGCATCCTATGGGCCTTGTCCCCACCGCGCAGCCCCGTGCCTGCTCTGAGGTGGGCGCTCAGTAATTGTTTTTTGTACCCAAATGAAAGTTTTTCGTGTCTGTACTTTTGTACAAGCTGTTCCTGTTGCTTAGAATGCTCTCTTTCCATTCCCCCGTCGCCCTGCCGACCCCTGTCCGCCCTCTCACGTCCCGCCCGCTCGCCCGCAGAGGCTCCCGCTCCGGCCCCCCGCTCTCCTGGCCCCGCCAGGCAGGTCTGTGCCCGGCGAGGCTGCGCCCTGGGGGCCCGGCGCCCCCGGTGTCCTCGTCGCCCAGTGCCGGGGCTGTCTGCACTGTGCCAGCCTCTCCAGTCCCCGAGAGCGGGGGCCGCCCGCCGTTCTGTTGTGTCCCCCCCGCCTGCTGACCGGCGCGGCTGTCGATGCCGGCATGTGGTGACGTCGGGGGACGGGACGGGGTGGAAAGGTGGCTCTCTGGTGCTGTGCCTGTGGCTTTAGTGTTTTTCAAATAAGCACCCCCGTTACCTGGTCTTCGCTGTCGTGACGCAGTGGACTCTGTTCTGCCACTTTCATTCGAGGGACGGAGACAGCGAAGCTGCGCAGGCTTGCAGGGCTCGGGTGACTTGCTGGAGTTGCAGAGCAGAGACTGCGATTCCGGTTTTTTTTCGTCTTGTTTTTCCTGTTTCCAGGGCGAGGTTACCTCTGTACCGAGTTCCTCCAGGAGGGCGGGTGGCTTCGGGGGTCGGGGAGTAGTCAGGACGGCCGGTGAGCGGCTTTCAGAGGAGGTAAGTAGCAAGGGAGCAGTCGAGGCAAATGGTAGGAATGCCTGGGGGCGTGGGTACTGAGATGCTATTTATATTTAAAGTGTTTCCTGCATATTTATTACGTAGGGTCTTGTGCCTGCTTCTGTTTCATGACCAAAGAGTCTTCGGTAAGCATCTGTCTGAATTTCCTCCGTGCACCAGGCATCCAGCCAGATGGGGGTGGCACAGAGACCAAGAGCCGGAAGGAGCTCGGCGCCGAGCAGGGACAGCAATGGCGCGAACGCTGTCCTTAGTAGGGCTGGTCTTCCATCAGAGGCGGAGCGGGGGTCGGTGCAGGAGGGGGTGGCAGTTCAGGGACCTTGTAGGCGTGCCAGCACATGCTCTGTCCCAAACGTTCAGGGAAAAAATGACCAGCTTCCTGAGAGCAGGCGCATGCGCTTCGTCCGCTTTGACACAGCTCTGTGACGGTTTTCCGTGAGCTTCCCAGAGGTAAGGGCATCCTCTACGTGCACGTAGAAATCTCTCGGGAAAGGAGCAGTTTGAGGTGCGGCCTTTGGGAGCACGGGTCAGCAGTCGGCCAAGGGCTGCGGTGTGGGGTCTGCGCCGTGAGGCCGTCCCAGGTCACGCCTCAGCTGCTGGTCCACCCCCGGGGCCCGGCCTGGGCAGGCCCCCCGCGCCCCCGCCCCTCCGCCCCTCCGCCCCACCTTGTCCTCGCTTGGGAGGCTGCCGAGGTCTCCTCGCCGAGGTCGCCAGTTAATAAAACTGGTACTTCTAGGATTATCTTTGTAAAACTTTATTTTCCCACTTTCTATCTGAAAACCTCCCAAAGGCTTCCCCTTTCTCCTTGGAACAAAAGCCAAGACCCCTACCAGCCCCCAGGAGGCTCTGCACCACCGGGCCATTTCCGGGCGCTGGCCAGCAGGCACCCAGGTGCTGGCCACGTGGTTCTTGCCAACGGGCGCACCCTGAGGCCCATTACTGTCTCCCCTGCTGTTTCTCGTGCCTGGGCGGCAGCAGGTCCTTGTGCTCCCTGAGGTGAGGTGCACGGGGCTCCCCTGCCATCCCTCCTTCCTGCTGCCCACGCTCACCTGTCACACGGTCCCTGCGTGTGCTGACGCAGGCTGAGCTCGCCGTACACGCGTGCCCTCGTTCATGGGGGTCCGCCTACCACCCGCCTGTTCAGACTGTCAGGCAAAGTCTGGGACCACGTCTGCTTTGTTCATTTCTCTCTATCCAGCACTTGGTCAACATTGACTGACCGACAAGATGCCTCTGAAGTAATGGAAAGGGTGTTAATAAGAAGAGTGTCAGTTCCCCTGGTAAGCCCAGGGGTCGCCGTCCTTGATGCCAGGGGCAGCCGGAGGCACCGGACACACAGGCGTCGCCGCGCTGTGGGGAGAGCTGTGCTCGATCACAGGAACGGCTTGCGTCGGGCAGAGGGTGGAGTGGACACCCACGGAGCGACTCCCTGGCGTTGTCATCATTGGGGGTTACTGTGAGCAAGGCAGCGGGACAAACGATAAAATCTCCCTTTCGTTGTTATAACGTCGGAGGTAATGAATTAATTGTATCTTACTTTCTAGAGATGCTCCAAAGCGTTTTAAAAGTTAGGCACCTTCCGCCCCTTAGTTCTTGTGTGAAGGAGCTCCGTATTTGGTCAAGACAGCCTGTAGTGAAGCCCGCTGGGAGCTGATCAGAGGACTTGGTTTCTGTTGTTGAAGTGTGATTTACGCAGCTAAAGTACACAGTCCTTTCTTCTCTGCTTTCTTTCTCAACTAAGATTCCCTACCCTTATGTAGTTTGGCTTTAGTTTGCATTGACATGCATCTTTACATCGTAACTGTATAATCTGCTATGTTTTGAGTTTTGTTTATAGCTTTTCTTTTACATAATGATGCAATAAGACAAACAGTGTTAATGCAAAACAGTGTTAAGATACAGAATAATTTCGGTAGCCGTCATGTGAAAATTGTGACAGTTCTTTTTCTAAGAAAAGATTTAATTTTATTCTAGCACAACAACTTCTCTGGGGATATTCAGGTATGGTAACTGACTGAATGTTGTGTTCATCTGTGGCCTGGTGTTTCTGTTCATTTGATTCTTTGAATCCTGTTTTTCATTTTCCTAAGTAGCTAGAAGTTATGTCAACAATTTTTTTCTAGTGGTAATAACTTTTAAAGGAGAGAGGAAACTATGTTGATACAGATATACAGGTGATTGTTACATCTGCTGCAATAAAGCCACGTTTAGGTGGCTTGAAAACACATTTCCTAGAACATTTAGTCCCCGATGAAAGACTTACGCTGAAACCTGCAGTGCACGCTGTGGCATTTAGTGGGGACGTGCGAGAGTGGGCACACCTGTGCTGTATGACACCCGTGAACACAGAGGCCGTCAGGAGGCCGGGCGGCGGGAGTGGGGCCTGGGCCTGTGCGGTGGGAGGGCCCGCGGTCTGCGTGCCGCCGCGGGTGTCAGAGGGCAGGGACAGGGGCCAGCCCTGCTTCATTAGGAACTGCCGGCTGATGGTTCTCGCAACGCCTTGCCTGCCCTTTTGTTGGCTTTTTTTAAGCAAAAGATTTTTGACTCAACTTATATTATTTTCCCTTAGTTCATTTTCATGTGGAAAATTAGAGAAATTTTTGGTAATTAAGACTTTTCGAGTCAATTTATTCTTTGAAGCAGGCTACACATACTACATTAAAATTAACTGAAACGAAGCTATTGTTATACTGATAATTCATATAAATATTTAATTTGTTTTCTAGCTTGCATTGAAAGTCGCTTAGCATTATTGTATTCTATTATTATTACATATTCTCAAACCTTAATTAATGTATCTTCTGGTTAAGTTGTAGTTGAAGAAGGAAACAAAATCAAAAAGTGGGCGGCAGAGGCCCCACCCCCGGGGACCTGGTCGTGGACCCCGTCCCCCCAGGTGTTGCTGCATCCCCCCGTCGGGGTGATGGCCAGGAAGGCACAGCAGTGCGGGTGCTGATGGACGACGGGGGTTTGGTCCCCGGGGCTGGTCTCGAACCGCCTCGGATGCCCAGCCGCGTGGCAGGGGGCGTCTGCGCCGGCCCACAGCGCTTGCCTCGCCGCCGCGTGGCCTGCGGAGGGCCGGCTGGCGTGCCAGTGGGCTGGTGCGCTGTCCCGCCCTCCCTTGGTTTGGTCTTTTTCTTTTCCTTTTCTCCTTTTTGTTTCTGTGGAGGTGTGACAGACGTCGTATTTGCCATTTAATCAGACCTTCACTTTCACACGTCTGTATTTACACAGAGATTTGGCTCTCCGTAGGCAGGAGTACGCAGTGGGGCGCAGTGGGGCGCTGTTAGAACACATCAGCCACCAAAGCTGCCCTTGCCACTTTCTGTAGGAGAAAGCTGTGAAAGCTGCTGCCGCAGGCCCAGCGCGGCCCTCCCGGGGGGCGCCGGTGGCTGTGGTCAGCTCCCAGTTAAGGAAGGCGGCGAGGAGGAGAGTTTTTGGTTAAGGCAGTTTTGAAGTTACTACAATATTCTGCTTCCATCCACGTTGAAAATCCTTCTCAAAGTTAGTACTGAACATACATGTACAAATAAACGTATCCAATAAACAAAAGCAGTGCAGTTTTTCATTAGTGATTCAGCGTGTTCATGGTACTTTGAACTGATCTATAGTAAAGGGAAAACTACTTAGAAGAGTTACTTCTAAATTAAATAATCCTATTTAATAATCATTTAGAAAGAAACTTTCTGTCTCCATGAACACTTTCAGTACTGTAAAGTTAACTACTTCTGACAGTGCTGATAATTTTAAAGGCTGGGCCACAGGCACGTGAGTCATTTATCACAATGCTGTTAGTTGTTTTGCTGATACTATTATAGGAGATTCACAATTTCAGTGACTTTCTAAAGCAGGACATAAAGACTTTTTTCCGTGTTAACATTTATGATTGAGGGTTAAACTCTTTACAAAGGCCTACCTACAAAATAAATAGAAACGGGCGAGAACGTGGGACTGAGCTGACTTGGGCTCCCCGCGCTGGGTGCTGCTGCCTTTGCTCTCTCCTTTATTTCCTTTGTTTTCAGTTGAGCATGACTTGTGTGTTAGTCGCATGTTATGTGTGGTGTATGTGTGTTTTATTGGCATTTTATTTATACATTGAGATTAGATAATTTTCCTGGAGGTAGGTATTTTATAAATTGCGAAATGTCATGCGAGGATATTGGATAGGATTATCTACAAAAATGCATGTTATGTGGCAGTTATTAACACAGAATATATTGTGATGCATATTTAATTTTTTGTTTTCTAAGTGTTGTGAACTTTAATTTCTAATTTCTAACTTTTTTTGTAACTTTGATGTTCTATCTTTGTGTTTCTTATGATTTGATATTCTGTTATTGTAAATTCAGTAAGCATTTATTTAAAATGTTAAAAATTAATTTAAAAATATATTTTAATAGAACTCATAGATTGAGCAGGCTGTACTAATCAGACTCCTGACAACACTTTACGATTTCTTAAATATTACTACTTGATTTACCCTAAGTCATACAATGTAGAAGCTGGAAATACTCAGAATTTGGACATTGAGAGCTTCCAACAGTTGCAAAAGTGTGCCCTTGCTTCGGCCTCTATGGCAGTGACTTTAAAATGTCTTATTATGACAGGAAAGATAATTTAGGGCAAAGTCAAGTCGCCTTCTTGCCGTGTAAGGCTGTGACCGAAGGGTGCCCTTTCTTGGTTAAAAGGTAACGATATACAGAAATTCCAAGGGGCTCGAGCTATGCCCTCTTATATCTTTTTTTCAAAGTTAGTTTTTCGAGAGTCTAGAAAATTGTATGTACATAGGGAGAAAATTGGCATCAGTTTCCCATAGGATTGAATTTGATATTTTTCACTTCCCTATACGGGCAAGTACATACCTGTGGTATATATCATGTTATTCTAAAATTTTGTTCCTACTGGTGTTATAAATACTCTGAAACACAAAATGCACGTAGAAGTATAATGTTATTTCCAGGCCAGTGGTTAAAAATCAGCAAAAATCTTTTCCCCAGACAAAACCTTTGTCATCTCCTGGCTTCCGGGACCCGCAGAGGCAGAGCTGCTTGGAGGCGGACAGCTGGTCCCTGAAGCCGTTCTGCCCAGCCCCGGGCGCTGCAGAGCGCACTTGAACGAGTAGTCAGTGGCAAGGCATGGGCTGCTTCAGAGACGCTGTAAATGCACCCCTTCCTTGGGCTTGGACGCGGAGCAGTCCTGAGACCCGGACCTCATCGCCTCCCCTTTCCAGAGGAGCACGTTCGAGTCTCAGAAAGACTGACCCGTGCCCTTAGCGGTGGGAAGGAAGCCCTATAAGTCTCCTCGCTGGGTCAGCCTCAGAGAGCGCGGGCAAGCTGAGACGGGGACTTCAGGCCCTTCGCGTTGTCCTGTGCTGCGCAGGCTTGCCGCAGGCATGCGCACCGGACAGCCACACTGGGCGCCCCTCTAAGTCACTTCCGTAACCCGTGTGAGTGGTGCTCACTTAAACTTGATCTACTTTTCTTTGGTGCTTTTATTGTGGACAAATAACCACTAATAGTTCTCCATGTTGACTCTCTATGTGGACCATTAAGGATAATTTTTAAAGCAAACATAAATGCATTTTATATATTTAAAATAAGTATTTTCCAGAGAAAATTCTATCTCCCATAGGTTATTATAAATATGGATTTATGGATAGATTATTATTATTTAAAAATTATTTTAGTCCAGTTATGCTGAATTTTTGCATTTTTGTAGGTACTCTCTGATCTGCAGAAATAGAAAGCTAAGTAACTTAGAGCAGAATTGGGTGTTTATAACATGTCTATGTGATTCACAGGAAGACCGTGCACTCAGCTGCAGCTTCTGAATCCTGAGCGGTTCGCGCGGCTCATCAAAGAAGTAATGAATACCTTCTGGCCTGGCAGAGAGCTGATCGTTCAGTGGTATCCATTTGATGAAGACAAAAATCATCCTCCTGTTTCATGGCTGAAAATGGTTTGGAAGAATCTCTATATACATTTTTCAGAGGATCTGACTTTGTTTGACGAGATGCCACTTCTCCCCAGGATGGCACTAAAGGACGGTCAGACATGTGTGGAGCTCATCAGACTCAGGGTCCCATCATCGGTCATTTTAGAAGATGAGACGGAAGCGCAGCTTCCAGAGTTTTTAGCTGATATTGTACAAAAACTTGGAGGGATCGTCCTTAAAAAGTTAGATGCCTCCATACAACATCCACTTATTAAAAAATACATTCACTCGCCATTGCCAGCTGCCGTTTTGCAGATAATGGAGAAGATGCCACTGCAGAAATTGTGTAATCAAATAGCTTCGCTGCTTCCAGCGCACAAAGATGCCCTGAGGAAGTTCTTAGCCAGTTTAACAGAGATCAGTGAAAAGGACAAAAGAATAATTCAGGAACTGCCAATATTCAAACGAATCAACCACTCATCTGGTCAGGGAGTTTCCTCTTACACAAAACTGAAAGGGTGCAGAGTCCTGCACCGCACCGCCAGACTGCCGCCGCATCTGCGGCTCTCAGTGCCAGTGGTTGACAGCGGCGATGAAGCTACTATTCGCTTGGCCAACATGTTGAAGATTGAGAAGTTAAAGACCACTAGCTGCTTAAAGCTTGTTTTAAAAGATATTGAAAGTGCATTTTACTCCCATGAAGAAAGAACGCACCTTATGTTATGGATCCTTGAGCATCTGTCCTCTCTTAAAAATGAGAATCCGAATGTGCTTGATTGGCTAATGCCATTAAAATTCATTCCGATTGCCCAGGAGCGGATGGTGTCCGCCGGTGAACTCTTCGATCCCAACGTAGAAGTCCTAAAGGACCTCTTCTATAACGAAGAAGAAACTTGCTTCCCGCCTTCACTTTTTACGTCACCAGATGTTCTTCACTCTTTGAGACAGATTGGTTTGAAAAGCGAAGCCAGTCTCACGGAGAAAGATGTTGTGCAAGTGGCAAAAAAAATTGAAGCCTTACAGGCCAGTGCTTGTCCAAGTCAGGAAGTTCTTACAAAGAAAGCCAGAACACTCCTGCAGGTGTTAAATAGGAATCACACGCTGCTGCAGTCGTCTGAAGGGAAGACGACGCTGAAGAAGATAAAATGGGTCCCCGCTTGCAAGGAGAGGCCCCCAAACTATCCCGGCTCTCTGGCGTGGAGAGGCGACCTCTGCAGCCTCTGCGCGCCCCCAGAGATGTGTGACGCAGCCCACGCAATTCTCGTTGGCTCGGCACTTCCTCTTGTTGAGAGCATCCATGTGGACTTGGAAAAAGCTTTGGATGTCTTCACAAAGCCTAGCATCAGTGCTGTCTTAAAACACTTCAAAATTGTCGTTGATTGGTATACTTCGAAAACTTTCAGTGATGAAGACTACTACCAGTTCCAACATATTTTGCTAGAAATCTATGGCTTCATGCATGATCATTTAAATGAAGGAAAAGATGCTTTCAGAGCCTTAAAATTTCCATGGGTTTGGACTGGCAAAAAATTTTGTCCCCTCACCCAAGCTGTGATAAAACCATTCCATGACCTTGACCTTCAGCCTTATTTGTACAGTGTGCCTAAAACGATGGCAAAATTCCACCAACTGTTTAAGGTCTGTGGTTCAATAGAGGAGTTGACATCAGATCATATTTCCATGGTCATTCAGAAGGTATATCTCAAAAGTGATCAAGATCTCAGTGAACAGGAAAGCAAACAAAATCTCCATCTTATGTTGAATATTGTCAGATGGCTGTATAGCAATCAGATTCCAGCAAGCCCCGAGACGCCAGTTCCTATACATCACAGCAGAAAGCCTTCTAAGCTCATCATGAAGCCGATTCATGAATGCTGTTACTGTGACATCAAAGTCGACGACCTGAATGACTTACTGGAAGATTCGGTGGAACCAATCATTCTGGTGCATGAGGACATCCCCATGAAAACCGCGGAGTGGCTGAAAGTTCCGTGCCTCAGTACAAGGCTGATCAATCCTGAAAACATGGGATTTGAGCAGTCAGGACAGAGAGAACCACTTACTGTGAGGATTAAAAATATTCTGGAAGAATACCCTTCAGTGTCAGATATTTTTAAAGAGCTACTTCAAAATGCCGATGATGCAAATGCAACAGAATGCAGTTTCCTGATTGATATGAGGAGAAACATGGACATTAGAGAGAGCCTCCTGGACCCAGGAATGGCGGCGTGTCACGGGCCCGCTCTGTGGTCATTCAATAATTCTGAGTTCTCAGATTCCGACTTTGTGAACATAACTCGCTTAGGAGAGTCTTTAAAAAGGGGAGAAGTTGACAAAGTTGGGAAATTTGGTCTCGGATTTAATTCGGTGTACCACATCACCGACATTCCCATCATTATGAGTCGAGAATTCATGATAATGTTCGACCCAAACATAAACCATATCAGTAAACATATCAAAGACAGATCTAATCCTGGGATCAAAATTAATTGGAGTAAACAGCAGAAAAGACTTCGGAAATTTCCTAATCAGTTCAAACCATTTATAGACGTGTTTGGCTGTCAGTTACCCTTGACTGTAGAAACACCCTACAGCTACCGTGGAACCCTTTTCCGACTGTCGTTCAGAACGCAACAGGAAGCAAAGGTGAGTGAGATTAGTAACACCTGCTATAACACGGCAGATATTTACTCTCTTGTGGATGAATTTAGTCTCTGTGGACACAGGCTCATCATCTTCACTCAGAGCGTAAACTCAATGTATTTAAAGTACTTGAAAATTGAGGAAAGCAATCCCAGCCTAGCACAAGACACAATAGTAATTAAAAAAAAATTCTGCTCTTCCAAAGCACTGAGTGCACCTATCTTAAGTGTTTTAAAAGAAGCCGCTGAGCTCATGAAAACTTGCAGCAGCAGCAATAAAAAGCCTCCTCCTGAAGCCCCCAAGTCATCTTGCATTCTTCAGATCACAGTCGAAGAATTTCACAATGTGTTCCGAAGGATCGCCGACTTACAGTCGCCACTTTTTCGAGGGCCAGATGATGACCCGGCTGCTCTCTTTGAAATGGCTAAGTCTGGCCAGTCAAAAAAGCCTTCAGATGAGTTGCCCCAGAAAACAGTAGAGTGCACCACGTGGCTTCTGTGCGGCTGCATGGACACAGGCGAGGCCCTGAGGTTTTCCCTGAGTGAAAGTGGAAGAAGACTAGGGCTGGTCCCCTGTGGGGCAGTAGGAGTCCTGCTCTCTGAAGTCCAGGACCAGAAGTGGGCCGTGAAACCACACATCGGAGAGGTGTTCTGCTATTTACCTTTACGAATAAAAACAGGATTGCCAGTTCACATCAATGGGTGCTTTGCCGTAACTTGCAATAGAAAAGAGATCTGGAAGACAGATACAAAGGGACGATGGAATACCACCTTCATGAGACACGTTATTGTGAAGGCTTACCTAGAGGCACTCAGTGTCCTGCGGGACTTGGCCACCAGCGGGGAATTGATGGATTATACTTACTATGCAGTGTGGCCTGATCCTGATTTAGTTCATGATGACTTTTCTGTAATTTGTCAAGGGTTTTATGAAGATATAGCTCATGGAAAGGGGAAAGAATTGACCAGAGTCTTCTCTGATGGATCTACGTGGGTTTCCATGAAGAATGTGAGGTTTCTAGATGACTCTATACTTAAAAGAAAAGATGTTGGTCCAGCAGCCTTCAAGATATTTTTGAAATACCTCAAGAAGACTGGGTCAAAAAACCTTTGTGCTGTTGAACTTCCTTCCTCGGTAAAGTTAGGATTTGAAGAAGCTGGCTGCAAACAGGTACTGCTTGAAAATACATTTTCAGAGAAACAGTTTTTTTCAGAAGTATTTTTTCCAAATATTCAAGAAATTGAAGCAGAACTCCGAGATCCTTTAATGAATTTTGTTCTAAATGAAAAAGTTGATGAATTCTCAGGAATTCTTCGCGTTACTCCATGTATTCCTTGCTCTTTGAAAGGACATCCTTTGGTTTTACCATCAAGATTAATTCACCCTGAGGGACGAGTTGCAAAGTTGTTTGATACCAAAGATGGACGGTTTCCTTATGGGTCTACTCAGGATTATCTTAACCCTATTATTTTGGTTAAACTAGTTCAGTTAGGTATGGCCAAAGATGATATTTTATGGGATGACATGCTAGAACGTGCAGAGTCAGTAGCTGAAATTAATAAAAGTGATCACGCTGCTGCTTGTCTAAGAAGTAGTATCCTATTGAGTCTTATTGATGAAAAGCTAAAAATAAGGGATCCTAGAGCAAAGGATTTTGCCACGAAGTATCAAACAATCCCCTTCCTTCCATTTCTAACAAAACCAGCAGGTTTTTCTCTGGAGTGGAAAGGTAACAGTTTTAAGCCTGAAACCATGTTTGCCGCAACTGACCTGTATACAGCTGAGTATCAAGATATAGTTTGTCTGTTGCAGCCAATTCTCAATGAAAACTCACATTCCTTCCGAGGCTGTGGTTCAGTGCCGTTGGCTGTTAAGGAGTTTTTGGGATTACTGAAGAAGCCCACAGTCGATCTGGTTGTAAACCAGTTGAAAGAAGTTGCAAAGTCAGTTGATGATGGAATTACGTTATACCAGGAGAACATCACCAACGCTTGCTACAAATACCTTCATGAAGCAATGCTGCAAAATGAAAGCGCTAAGTTATTGATTGTTGAAAACTTAAAATCCTTTAGCTTCATTCTAGTTGAGAATGCATATGTTGGCTCAGAAAAAGTTTCTTTTCATTTGAATTTTGAAGCGGCACCATACCTTTATCAGTTGCCTAATAAATACAAAAATAATTTCCGTGAACTTTTTGAAAGTGTAGGTGTACGGCAGTCATTTACCGTTGAAGATTTTGCCCTTGTTTTAGAATCCATTGATCAAGAAAGGGGAACAAAGCAAATCACTGAAGAGAATTTCCAGCTCTGCCGGCGAATAATTAGTGAAGGAATATGGAGCCTCATTAGGGACAAGAAACAAGAATTCTGTGAGAAAAATTACGGCAAAATATTATTGCCAGATACTAATCTTAAGCTTCTCCCTGCCAAATCTTTATGCTACAATGATTGTCCCTGGATAAAAGTAAAGGACACCTCTGTAAAATATTGTCACGCTGACATCCCCAGGGAAGTAGCTGTAAAACTGGGAGCCGTACCAAAGCGACACAAAGCCTTAGAAAGGTACGCATCCAACGTCTGCTTTACGACACTTGGCACTGAATTTGGACAGAAGGAAAAACTGACCAGCAGAATTAAGAGTATCCTTAATGCCTACCCTTCAGAAAAGGAAATGTTGAAAGAACTTCTTCAAAATGCCGACGATGCGAAGGCCACAGAAATCTGTTTTGTGTTCGATCCCAGACAGCACCCGGTGGACAGGATATTCGACGACAAGTGGGCCCCATTGCAGGGGCCCGCGCTGTGTGTGTATAACAACCAGCCCTTCACAGAAGATGACGTCAGAGGAATTCAGAATCTTGGCAAAGGCACCAAGGAAGGAAACCCTTACAAAACTGGACAGTATGGAATAGGATTCAACTCAGTGTACCATATTACAGACTGCCCTTCTTTTATTTCTGGCAACGACATCCTGTGTATTTTTGATCCTCATGCCAGATACGCACCAGGAGCCACATCCATTAGTCCTGGACGCATGTTTAGAGATTTGGATGCAGATTTTAGGACCCAGTTCTCAGATGTTCTGGATCTGTATTTGGGAAACCACTTTAAACTGGATAATTGCACAATGTTTAGATTTCCTCTTCGTAATGCAGAAATGGCAAAAGTTTCAGAAATTTCTTCAGTTCCCTCATCAGACAGAATGGTCCAGAATCTTCTGGACAAATTGCGGTCAGATGGGGCAGAACTTTTAATGTTTCTCAATCACATGGAAAAAATTTCGATTTGTGAAATAGATAAAACTACTGGAGCTCTAAATGTGCTGTATTCCGTAAAGGGCAAGATCACTGATGGAGACAGATTGAAAAGGAAACAATTTCATGCATCTGTAATTGACAGTGTTACTAAAAAGAGACAGCTCAAAGACATACCAGTTCAACAGATCACCTATACGATGGATACTGAGGACTCGGAAGGAAATCTTACTACATGGCTAATTTGTAATCGGTCAGGTTTTTCAACTATGGAAAAAGTCTCTAAGAGCGTTATATCAGCTCACAAGAACCAAGATATCACTCTCTTCCCACGAGGCGGAGTGGCCGCCTGCATCACTCACAACTATAAAAAACCCCACAGGGCCTTCTGTTTTTTACCCCTCTCTTTAGAGACGGGATTACCATTTCACGTGAATGGCCACTTTGCTCTAGATTCAGCCAGAAGGAATCTGTGGCGTGATGATAATGGAGTTGGTGTTCGAAGTGACTGGAATAACAACTTAATGACAGCGTTAATAGCCCCTGCGTATGTGGAATTACTGATCCAGTTAAAAAAGCGGTATTTCCCTGGTTCTGACCCAACGCTGTCCGTTCTACAGAACACGCCTATTCATGTTGTGAAGGACACTTTGAAGAAGTTTTTGTCATTTTTCCCAGTTAACAGGCTTGATCTACAACCAGATTTATATTGTCTCGTGAAAGCACTTTATACTTGCATTCACGAAGATATGAAACGCCTTTTACCTGTTGTACGGGCTCCAAACATCGATGGCTCTGATTTGCATTCTGCAGTTATAATTACTTGGATTAATATGTCTACTTCAAATAAAACAAGACCATTTTTTGACAATTTACTGCAGGATGAATTACAAAACCTTAAAAATGCAGATTATAATATCACAACACGGAAGACGGTAGCAGAGAATGTCTATAGGCTGAAGCACCTACTTTTAGAAATCGGTTTCAACTTGGTGTACAACTGCGATGAAACTGCCAACCTGTACCACTGCCTCGTAGACGCAGACATTCCTGTGAGTTACGTGGCTCCTGCTGATGTCAGGTCTTTTCTAATGACGTTTTCCTCTCCCGACACTAATTGCCATATTGGGAAGCTGCCTTGTCGTCTCCAGCAGACCAACCTGAAACTTTTTCATAGTTTAAAACTTCTAGTTGATTATTGTTTTAAGGATGCAGAGGAAAATGAGATGGAAGTGGAGGGACTTCCGCTTCTCATCACACTGGACAGTGTTTTGCAGACTTTTGATGCGAAACGACCCAAGTTTCTAACCACATACCATGAATTGATTCCATCCCGCAAAGACTTGTTCATGAATACATTGTATTTGAAGTACAGTAATATTTTATTGAACTGTAAAGTTGCAAAAGTGTTTGACATTTCCAGCTTTGCTGATTTGTTGTCCTCTGTGTTGCCTCGTGAATATAAGACCAAAAATTGTACCAAGTGGAAAGATAACTTTGCAAGTGAGTCCTGGCTCAAGAATGCATGGCATTTTATCAGTGAATCTGTAAATGTGAAAGAAGACCAAGAAGAAACAAAACCAACGTTTGACATTGTTGTTGATACCCTCAAAGACTGGGCGTTGCTTCCAGGAACAAAGTTCACCGTTTCAGCCAATCAGCTTGTAGTTCCTGAAGGGGACGTTCTGCTCCCCCTGAGCCTTATGCACATTGCCGTTTTCCCGAATGCCCAGAGCGACAAAGTGTTTCACGCGCTCATGAGAGCTGGCTGCATTCAGCTTGCTTTGAGCAAGATATGTTCCAAAGACAGCGCATTTGTCCCTCTGCTGTCATGCCACACGGCGAACATAGAGAGCCCCGCAAGCATTTTGAGGGCTCTACACTATATGGTTCAAACGTCAACATTTAGAACTGAAAAACTGGTAGAAAATGACTTCGAAGCACTTCTGATGTACTTCAACTGCAATTTGAGCCACTTGATGTCCCAAGATGACATAAAAATTTTAAGGTCGCTTCCATGCTACAAATCCATCAGTGGTCGCTATATGAGCATTGCAAAATTTGGGACATGCTATGTACTTACTAAAAGTATTCCTTCAGCTGAAGTGGAAAAATGGACACAATCATCATCATCTGCATTTCTGGAAGAAAAAATACACTTAAAAGAGCTATATGAGGTGCTTGGTTGTGTGCCTATGGATGATCTTGAGGTGTATTTGAAACACCTCTTACCAAAAATTGAAAATCTCTCTTATGAAGCAAAATTAGAGCATTTGATCTATCTTAAGAATAGATTATCAAATATTGAGGAATTGTCAGAGATCAAAGAACAACTTTTTGAAAAGCTGGAAAGTTTATTGATAATCTATGACGCTAACAGTCGGTTAAAGCAGGCGAAACATTTCTATGATAGAACTGTGAGAGTTTTTGAAGTTATGCTTCCCGAAAAACTGTTTATTCCAAAGGACTTCTTTAAAAAATTGGAACAACTTATAAAACCCAAAAATCAAGTTGCATTTATGACCTCCTGGGTGGAATTCTTAAGGAATATTGGACTAAAATACATACTTTCTCAGCAGCAGTTGTTACAGTTTGCTAAGGAAATCAGTGTGAGAGCTAATACAGAAAACTGGTCTAAGGAAACTTTGCAAAACACAGTCGATATCCTTCTCCATCATATATTCCAAGAACGAACGGATTTGTTATCTGGAAATTTTTTGAAAGAACTGTCTTTAATACCATTTTTATGTCCTGAGCGGGCTCCTGCTGAATTCATTAGATTTCATCCTCAGTATCAAGAGGTAAACGGAACACTTCCTCTTATAAAGTTCAATGGAGCACAAGTGAACCCAAAATTCAAGCAGTGTGATGTGCTCCAGCTGCTATGGACTTCCTGCCCTATTCTTCCAGAGAAAGCCACACCCTTGAGCCTCAAAGAACAGGAAGGCAGTGACCTTGGCCCACAAGAGCAGCTGGAACAAGTCTTAAGCATGCTTAACGTTAACTTGGACCCCCCTCTTGATAAGGTCATTAATAACTGCAGAAACATATGCAATATTACAACTTTGGATGAAGAAATGGTGAAAACCAGAGCAAAGGTCTTACGGACCCTGTATGAATTTCTCAGCGCAGAAAAAAGGGAATTTCGTTTTCAGCTGCGGGGGGTTGCTTTTGTGATGGTAGAGGACGGCTGGAAGCTTCTGAAGCCTGAAGAGGTAGTGATCAATCTAGAATATGAATCTGATTTCAAACCTTATTTGTACAAACTACCTTTAGAACTTGGCACCTTTCATCAGTTGTTCAAACATTTAGGTACTGAAGATGTTATTTCAACTAAGCAGTATGTTGAAGTGTTGAGCCGCATATTCAAAAGTTCCGAAGGAAAACAGTTAGATCCTAATGAAATGCGTACAGTAAAGAGAGTAGTTTCTGGCTTGTTCAGGAGTCTGCAGAATGATTCGGTCAAGGTGAGGAGTGATCTTGAGAATGTACGCGACCTTGCACTTTACCTTCCAAGCCAAGACGGTAGACTGGTAAAGTCCAGCATCTTAGTGTTTGATGATGCACCACATTACAAAAGTAGAATCCAAGGGAATATTGGTGTGCAAATGTTGGTGGATCTTAGCCAGTGCTATTTAGGGAAAGACCACGGATTTCATACTAAGTTGATAATGCTTTTTCCTCAAAAACTCAGACCTCGTTTACTGAGCAGTATACTTGAAGAGCAGTTAGATGAGGAGATGCCCAAAGTCTGTCAGTTTGGAGCCCTGTGTTCTCTTCAAGGAAGGTTGCAGTTACTCTTGTCTTCTGAGCAGTTCATTACAGGACTCATTAGAATTATGAAGCATGAAAATGATAATGCTTTCCTGGCCAATGAGGAAAAAGCCATAAGACTTTGCAAAGCCCTACGAGAAGGCCTGAAAGTGTCCTGCTTTGAAAAGCTTCAAACAACATTAAGAGTTAAAGGTTTTAACCCTATTCCCCACAGTAGAAGTGAAACTTTCGCTTTTTTGAAGAGATTTGGTAATGCTGTTATCCTGCTATACATACAACATTCAGATAGTAAAGACATTAATTTCCTACTAGCATTAGCAATGACGCTTAAATCAGCCACTGACAATTTGATTTCTGACACTTCATATTTAATTGCTATGCTAGGATGCAATGATATTTATAGGATCAGTGAGAAACTTGACAGTTTAGGAGTGAAATATGACTCTTCGGAACCATCAAAACTTGAGCTTCCAATGCCTGGCACTCCAATACCAGCTGAAATTCATTATACTCTGCTTATGGATCCAATGAATGTTTTCTACCCGGGAGAATATGTTGGGTACCTTGTTGACGCTGAAGGCGGTGATATCTATGGATCATACCAGCCAACGTACACATATGCAATTATTGTACAAGAAGTTGAAAGAGAAGATGCTGACAATTCCAGTTTCCTAGGAAAGATCTATCAGATCGATATAGGTTACAGCGAGTATAAAATAGTCAGCTCTCTTGATCTGTATAAGTTTTCAAGGCCCGAGGAAAGCTCTCAAAACCGAGACAGTGCCCCTTCCACACCGACCAGCCCCACGGAGTTCCTTGTCCCCGGTGTGCGGAGTATCCCTCCTCTCTTCTCTGCCAGAGACGGCCACAAGGCCCCGTCTTCGAAACACCATGGCCCCAAAAAGCTTAAGGTGAATTCTCTGCCAGAAATTTTAAAAGAAGTGACAACAGTGGTGGAGCAAGCGTGGAAGCTTCCAGAATCTGAAAGAAAGAAGATTATTAGACGGTTATATTTGAAATGGCACCCTGACAAAAATCCGGAGAATCATGACATGGCTAATGAAGTTTTTAAACATTTGCAGAACGAAATTAACAGATTAGAGAAACAGGCTTTTCTGGATCAAAATGCGGACAGAGGCTCCAGGCGGACATTTCCAACCTCCGCCTCCCGATTTCAGTCAGAGAAGTACTCATTTCAAAGGTTTTATACTTCGTGGAATCAAGAAGCAACGAGCCATAAATCTGAAAGGCAACAGCAGAATAAAGAGAAAGGCCCACCTTCGGCTGGACAGACTTACTCCCAACGGTTCTTTGTTCCTCCCACTTTCAAGTCCGTCGGTAATCCAGTTGAAGCGCGGAGGTGGTTAAGACAAGCCAGAGCGAATTTTTCAGCGGCCAGGAATGACCTTCATAAAAATGCCAATGAATGGGTGTGCTTCAAATGCTACCTTTCCACCAAGTTAGCCCTGATTGCCGCTGACTATGCTGTGAGGGGCAAGTCCGATAAAGACGTAAAGCCAACTGCGCTCGCACAGAAAATAGAGGAATATAGTCAGCAGCTCGAAGGACTGACCAATGATGTGCACACATTGGAAGCCTACGGGGTAGACAGTTTAAAAACAAGGTACCCTGATTTGCTTCCTTTCCCACAGATTCCAAATGACAGGTTCACCTCTGAGGTCGCGATGAGGGTGATGGAGTGTACTGCCTGCATCATAATAAAGCTTGAAAATTTTATACAACAAAAAGTGTGAAAGTGTGTTAAGAAGAAAAAGTAGACCTAAGTCTTGGATGTGTTAGAGCACAAATACAAACTGCTGCCCTCCCCGAAGCTTCATTGCCGCTCACTTAGGAACTGGGAAGCACAGTGCAGGTGGCTCGGGATGGATTTCAAAGTTGCTGTGAATATGAGCATCGGTAGAAGACCATGACTGAATCTAAGAGAAAATTATTTTGAAGACAGTGGTGAACTGCAGAATTGCTAGGTGTGTTTGAATGGCTAGAATGGCACAGTACTGAACTGCACTTTATATAACCAAAGCTCAGCGGTTTGTTAGAGAACAGTCTGTTCATATCTCTGGTTGGGATGAAGTTAATTTTATGTTTTTAATGTGGCCTTTCTGAAGGAGCTAACAAAACACTGGAATATCATTGGCTTAAACAACTAAGGGGAATTAAGTCCTGGAATTGTATCATTTCTTTCAGTGGATCCTCTTGGATATATGCCGTTTCCTTATCAGCTGGATCTGATTATGAATTTGTTGCAATTTTACATCTTAAATACTCAGTCCATTGAAAACGTGGTACCGTATTTTATTCCTGAATATTACTTGATGAAGAGTAGGCAGGTAGTAGTTGTTAGGTGCACTGGGGTGCACTTCACATCTTTAAGTGTTTTTTACACCTTCTGTTTACAGGTTTTTTCTTTCATGAAAATAGCATATGGAAAACAACATCATGGTGGTTCTTACCACCAGGTGTCAGTATTGCTTCTGAGAACTGCTTACCGACACAGCATTTATCAACTGTTGGAACATTAGCTTCATGTTTGTTTGTACATATTTTCCACAAATGTCATAATTTATATAGTGTGGTCGAACAGGATGCAATCTTTTGTTGTCTAAAGGTGCTGCAGATAAAAAAAAATCTTTTGTCTTTCAACATGGCGCTTAGTGGAGCCTTTGGGTTTTATTTTGAAAACGTTGAAAAACTGTAAAATCATTGTGACAATATCCAGTAGTGTGTAAAAGGAATTATTATCAGCTTGCATTTTCCTCATGAATGATTCAGAACTGACAGTTCATCCCCATTGTGTTTGATTGTCTGAATGTCCTACCGTAAGTTTTTACTTTAACATATTTCTTGTGCAGAATGAAAAAGAAAGGTAATGATAATGAGGTGAATGTGTGCTGGCTGTAAATGATGCTAAATATAATATTTTATGCAATTAAGGGCTTATGGAACATTACAACTTTTTTACTTTTATTGGTAATAAGGAATGTTTGCACCTCCACTATCCTGTTGCTTCTGGATGTGAAACCATATAATTATTCCTGCTGTTACATTAAGTGCCATAATTTTAATAAAGCAAGTGTACATATGAAATCATTGCAACTGGTGTTTCCTGAGAAATAGTTCATTGACAAACTTAGTATCTTCCTATATTAAGTTTTAATACGTATGTATATGTGTATTTATTGGAAATATTATTATAGAATTTTCCCGTATTTCTTACACTGGAATTTTAGTAGGTTTCTTTTTTATGATTGAATATAAAGTACTAGAGGGGTTTTATTAGGTGCTTTATTGATGAAAGAGTTTATCTTATTTTACTCATTCAGGGAAAAAGAGCAGTTGATATGGCATGTACAAGGCGGGGCAAAAGCAGGTTTACAGTTGTGAGTACATCACACATCCAGTTTATTCTTGTATTATTATTTATTGTATTATTTTCCAAAGGAACAACAGGAAATCTGCTTTTGCCCCGCCCTGTGCATGTCTGTATTTGGAAGTAGATATGTTAAATGTGGCTCTTCTGTAGGCAGAGGCTGAAGTGACATTTTCCGTCCCCGGGAGCGGCTCCGTGCACGGGGCGTGCTCACACCCGAGGCCAGGCGGGCAGCGAACGCCAGCCTTCGTCTGCGGTGCAGGCCTGCAGGGCTAGGCGGGCCGCGGCGGGCGCTCTGGGCTCCAGGGCCGCCCACGTCCTGCCCCGCAGCTTCCTGGGCCTTTGTAGAGAAGCACTTGCTACTTTGGAACTCCGTGTCGGCACCTGGAGTATATTCTGTTGCTTCGGAGCATTAACACTTAACACAGGACACCTTGTGTGGCTTTTGTGAGAGTTGATCCCATTGGAGTTTTGTGTGGTTTTTTAAAAAGACTTCCTTTTTTTAAACGTTACGGGGTTCACAATCCCCGATATGAGAAGTCCTTGCATTCAAATGTATTTCAGAATTTGGGCTTTAGAAAGTACACATTCTCCTCAGGTTGATGTTTTTGCAGGGAAACCTGTGACTATTCACACTAAATTGAATATAGACCTATTAAATAGCCTCATCTAAACTGAGGTCCTGTTTTGCAGCTGACATACTTGGAAGGTTTTCATTTGGGGGAGCTTTGAGATTTTCTTATTCGGGGTAAGGACTTTTGTACCCGAGCTAATCATTTTATGCTTTTTCTTCCCTCCCCGCTGTTTTGCTTTTCGGGTTAAAAGGAAGCTGCGCGCTGCAGCCGGTGCGCCGAGCAGCCGCCCCCGCGGGCCGCAGTCGTGATGGGGCCGAGCAGGCGCCGCGCGCGCGGGAGCAGGTGCTGAGAGCCCGACAGTGATGTCGGTCAAGTGTTCAAGTTGGGTTTAATAAAGTTGTCACCAGGTCTGATCTGGGGACAGGGAGGATTGCCTTCTGTGTGTGCAAGTCGACATTTTCAGGAGCTCATGCATTTTGTAGACGTCAAGAGTAAAACTTGGGAGTACTGGTAGAAAATAGGCATTAGAAAAGATTTTAACTGCTCGTGTATTAATCAAGGCCCTGGCAGAGCGAGCCCGTGGACGATCCCACAGGCGCAGCGCTGTGAGGAGACCCCCGCATGTCGCCGGGGACTGACTCGAGCCGCGTGGCGGGGCGTGGGGTGCAAGCCTAGGCCCTCGGTTGGGGCGCCGGCCTGCTCCGCGCTGGAGGGGCCTGGGCAGGGGCTGGAGCTGCAGCCTGCAGGTGGGGCTCCCGGACCGATGGCCTCCCCGTTTACCCCGCGTATCCTACTCACGGCGGGGCGCGCAGCAGGGCGTCCTGAGCCTCCCGCCAGGGCAGGCCCTGCGCTCCGACGGTGCTGCTGCTGGCGCGGCAGCCGCGAGTCCTGTCTGCTTACGGCAGGGACCTGTCGCGGGCACACGAAAGCCGAAATGAGGGAAGCTTATTTTAAAATAAGAATTATGTGTTTCCAGTGTATCCTCTGTCTCGGTAAGTGGCTTGGGGGGAGTAAGTACCCCCATGACCCTGAGTAGGAAGCCCAGTCCTGTAAGAAGACAAAACTGAAGTTGCTCTGTCTGTCCAGCTAAAAAATCGTGGCTGACTGAGCGGTGCCCTTAGATCTTGTTCCACCTGCTTCTGAGTGCTTGATACGAAGTTTATTTGGTTTCCAAACCACGGTCAACTTGAAGTAGAACTTAAAGTGCGGAGAAGACCACCAAGGGCGAGAAAGAAGGGACGTTTTCAATTGGGGAAGAAAAGGAAAGCAAACTTCGGAGCCTTCGGGTGGGGGGCTCTGCCCTTCCAGAAGACCAGCTGCCGCCCCCTTTTGCTGACCCCAGGGGGGCAGAAGTCGGCCCGGCGGGTGAGAGCAGCGCGCCCTTCCCGCTCTGGACTGTGCGGCCTCCGGAGAGGGCAGCGCCGGCCCGCCGGCCCGTCCGCCCGCCCCCCGGGAGCTCCGGGCTTCACAGCCGCGGGTTCCGCCTGGGGTGGGAGCCTGCGTGTGTTCTTCAGCCGGCAAGCCTTAGAAAGCCTATTTTGCTGCAAATCAGAGTTCTTTACTCGTCGCGCCAATATTTTGATCATGTGTGTGTGTGTGTGTGTGTGTGTGTGTGTGTACTCAGTTGGTTTGGAAATGGGGAAAAAAGTAAGGATTGTCACTAAAATAGCAACAGTGAATGGTCGATTATGACTTGGTATTAAGGGTGTCAGTTTATCGGCTTCAGTAGTGTGTATGCATAATCATGATTTAGACATTTAATGAAAATTTAAGTGGCATTGTATAATGTCTTTAAGGAGACAGGTTTATATAATACATTTTAGAATACAGCCTATCTAAAAGTTGTCATTCTAACCAAGGAGAAATTTCTTATCTCACTCTGGGGAATGTAGGTATCCTTAACAATTTCTTCCACAATAATGCCACATAACAAAGGAGCAAAAAATCTAATTTATACTTTTTATTGAAAAGGCTCTGTTCTTCATACTTTCTCTTGGATACTTCTTCTTGACCTCACTTTATCCTTTAAGCACCATTTTTTCCCTTCCTCGCCCGAGGACAATTTTCCATCGCTTTTGAGAGAGAGGAAGGAAGGGAGGGAGAGAAACATCACTTGGTTGCCTTCTCATGTGCACCCCGGCCAGGGAGCAAACCTGGCCGGTGGGTTTGTGCCCTGAGTGGGAATCAGGCTCGTGACCTTTTGATCTATGAGACGACACACCAGCCAACGGAACCGCCCTGGCCAAGGCCAAGCCCCATTTGTTCCCTAACGTGTACTGTGAGAACCAAGCTAATTTCTAAATGTTCGTGGTGATCCTGTGTTATGTCAGCTGGGCTTGGAGGTATTTCTTTGGCACAAACATGGAACTGGAGAATAAATAAGACCCCCAAAATGGCAACACTATTTACTACGACAGTAGGAATGTCATAGCAAGAAAGTAGACATTAATTTAAATCAGGACTTCAGTGGAAAAGGTGAACAACTTACAATTTAAAAGAGCCCGCCCCCTGGGAAGCTGCAGGGGTGGTTTGGAGTTGGGTTTGTTCTTAACTGCTTAGGAAGCACGGTGTTTGTGTTTTGTGATTTCAAGTCTTTATGCATACTTGCAATTCAAAATCAAATTGTTGCCAGTGGGCCACACATTGCTAAATGAACACCCTATTAAAACAGCATTAGAAATGAGTTCACTTTTCTATTTTTGATTTTGAGACTGTAGGAAGTGAATTGGAACTTGTGTTTATCGTTATAAATCCCGTAATTGGAAAGCTGCAATGCCGTTGATCCCCCTCCATTTTGTACTATTGGAAGATTCAAATTCTAACAGCCGGAAGAACACAAACCAAACCCAAACCCAAACCCACCCCTCCTGGGGGAAGGGCATGTAAGAAACCAGCGGCTTACCTACAGCTAACTTGTTGCATAGGTTACATAGCAATTTACACAACCACTTGGCAGTCAATATATTTTCAGAGTCCAGTTCTATGACGTTAAACCCAGTCTTTTACCTGTTGGGGAAGTCCACAGGGTTGGCAGTTACGAGCCCCACCGCATAGCTGCTGGACCTTCGTGGGTGCCAAAAGCCATTTGGAGTTCAGTTTCTTCACTTGTCAAGAGAACATTCCCACCCACGCAGTTACCGTGCCGACTGGTATTTTAGATGGAATGGAACAATTCATCCACACCTTTCCAAGGGCAAACAGCTGTTCAGATGTAGGGTCACTGTTTAATTTCCAGTAGAAGCTGTGTGACTTTGGGACTTGCTCTAAGCTGTTTTGTTTTGTTTTGTTTTTAAAACGCCTACCTACCTCAAAAAATAATAACTACCTCAAAGAACTGTGAGGATTAAAGAAAGTAAGACACTCGAAGTGTGAAGTTGGTGAAAAAAGTAGGTCGATTTTAATTGCTCATTCATGATACAGAGCACATGATTAATTCTGTGTAATATTTTCCTTTGACTACATATTGAAAATCAGATCAACCTTAAAGGCCCTTTAAAACCTGAGGGTTTTCTTGTGAAATGTGACACGCTTTGCATTAAAATGCAGAGAGAACTGCAGGTTCAGTGACACAGGGAAACACCTCATAGAACTTGGGGGCATTTAGTGCCGACCGATGCTACTTTTATAGGCATCAGACATACACTCTTGAACATCATAAATTAATTCCATACAGCAGTTCAATATTTCATTGCAGCTTGACACGTACAAGAAAGGAAAAGGAAGTTCACACAGTTCTGATGAAAGTCTAGTGGAATAAACACATTCTATTGCTATTTGATTTCAGCGTCTAACACCCGCATGCCGCTCCTCTGAACACGTTTGTGGGCACGGTTTTCTTTGCGATCCTTTTGAAAGCGCGTCCTCGACCGCCAGCTGCCCGCCCCGTCTCCCAGGGTTTCCCGGGGCTTGAGGTCAGTGTTCCAAGTTCACCGAAACAAGGCAGCGCTCCGTGGAGGGCGCGGCTGGCTTAGAGACAGATGTGGCTGCTTTCATGGCACGTGGTGGCTGCGGCAGCCGCGGACAGGTACAGCTTCCCGTCTGGACACACGCACACTTCATAGAGTCCCTGTGAGCTGCCAGCAGGCCCCGTGGTCCCCGAGCCCAGCTCAGGGAAACACACGGTTTCAGCATCAAGCACGAGCTGTTTGGGAGAACACGAGAGATGAAGCGGTGAAGGCGGAACGCGCGCGCGACAAGCGTAAAAACGCCCGTTCTCAGCATATTCTAAACAAATTCGTTTTCTCTCTGCTAAGGAAATGAATGAACACCTGGTTCGACTTGTCATACTACAGTTATCTGAATCCTTTAAAGCCTATTTCTATTTTACATTCAGACAGGGTGTTACTCATTCCTTCTCCAGCTTGGAGGGAAGTCATTTTTACGTTACCCATTGTGCTAGCTGAGCTGGGAAAGTTTATAATGCTACACTCCTAAAATACATTTCAGAATGAGCTGACAGAGAAGTAATAGAATTCTCTTGCCAATTCACATTTATCATGTTGACTTTGTTAAATCACCCTCTCTTTCCCATTAGAATCAATTCCAAGCCATAGAAATACATTCACCTAATTTTTTACCTGTGAATGTTGGAATTTCTCCTAATTTTATTTTCCCGTGAAAGGCAATTAAAATACACCCTATTCACCATCAACCATTTCCCTAAATTTTAAAATAATGAAACTGCTGCCTTCCAACAGATACAGAAAAGCAGCAGACAGGTAAAAGCCAACTAAAATTAAATGAAAGCTCCTGAACTGTGTGTTCCTACTATGGGTTTAGTTAAACGGAATCGCAAACAGATGGCCACTGGCTGAGACTTGGAAGCTCTTTGACAACCGAAGGCAGGAAAAGCGGCTGTCACAGGACAGGCGTGACGTTCTGCCTCACCCCTCAAGGTACACTCCCCTCTCTCGGGGTTCTCATCTACCACCCCCGATCTTGGAGTAAACTGCCTCGAGCAGGCGGCCCTCCCTCCCCGGAGACTGGCAGACGGCGGCGGGGGCGGCAGCAGCCTCAGACACCACGCGCAAAGCTTCCCCTTTGCACTCTGAGGCTGTCCCAGGAAAAGGAACCAAACAGGTGTTGCTTTTAGAAAGCAGAGCCTACGCAGGTTATTGCCCCGGGCTGTGTGTTCCCCGGGTGCCTGCCTGCCTTGTCTGCTTCTCCTCTCTCGTTTCTTACGAGTAATTGGTCAATTTTCTTTCTGGTGGTTATTTCTTTCCAGCAAACTCCAGCCGCTGGTAGGGCACACACGGCTTCCCTGCTCATCCTCTTCTGCGTCTGTGGGGCAGCGTGTCGTGGGAGGCCAGGCGTCACCTCCCTCTGGGGAACAGGCCCCCGGAATGAGGGAAAGGAACTTCAATTCTGGGTCAGGCTGGGCTATTTATAAAGTGACGTCTAATTCACGGGCGAAAGAAAGTTCTATTATTTAAAAAATTACAGTCAGGATACACTTCTTCCAGGTAGTACGCTCTTAAGTATGTAGCGACGTTATGGTTTAACAGTAAGATTCCAGAATTCCTCATTTCCATGTTTTTATTTTTAATATATTTTTTAATTTTTAAAAGATTTTATTTATTTTTAGAGTGAGCGGAAGGGAGGGAGAAAAAAGAGGAGAAACATCCATGTGTGGCTGCCTCTTGTGCGCCCCCCACTGGGGACCTGGCCCACAACCCAGGCTTGTGCCTTGACTGGGAATCAAACCGGCGGCCCTTTGGTTTGCAGGCCGGCACGCAACCCACTGAGCCACACCGGCCAGGGCCCGTGTTTGCATCTGTCTGCTCCCGGCATCGTAACTCTGTACCCGAAAACTCGCAGGAGCTTTGCCAGACGACTTTCATTCACTCACAGGTGTCAGACGGGGCTTGTCTACACTCCTGAGCTGCTCACGGCCTCTGCTTGTTGCCTCAACTACACCTTCCTCTTGATAGTAAATTAGTGTGATTTCGGAATGTCACCCATAGTCCCCTGTTGGTGTCTCATAGCCCTGCGACAGAGTGAAGCCACTGCAATTTCCCCTGCATTCAGAAGGGCGCACTGACCGAGCACCGAACAATCCGTGCTGAGCGGCAAGCGCTGCACAGCCTTGGCTACAGCCGCGGCCTGTGTCAGCAATGTGTTCTCTCGGGACGCGAAGCTCCAGATTTTACCCTCACTGTGGTTGGCTTTGAAAAGATCTTATTTTCAGTCAAACCTAACTTGGCGTGTGGAAGCCCCGCGCTCAGAGCGGCACCGGATAATGGCTGTCACTTACAGGCCCCTCCTCGTGACGGCCACGTTGAGACAAGCCCAATCACTGTGGAAACGGCAGAGGTCGTCGTCTCTGTAAATTCTGAAAGTCTGTTACTTTATTCAAAGCCGAAAATAGCGAGAGACGCTAGGGTGTGAATGCCAGTGCAAGAAAGCTGTCTGGCTCCAGTACTGTGCAGGGGTGTCCGACCTGTTGGCATCTCTGGGCCACACTGAAAGGAGAGTTGTGTTGGGCCACACATGAAATACATCACAACGCATCATCACACACACACACAAAAAATCTCAATGTTTTAGGTACATTTGCGATTTTGCGTTGGGCCACCTTCACAGCCATCCTGGGCCGCGTGCGGCCCGCGCGGCACAGTTGGACACCCCTGCACATAGAATTATTGTGACCTCTCTGGGATCTTCATTCAATGCTAACTGAACTCGCCCCTTTGTTTCACATTTTCTACTCTATGCTTTTCCTGCCGTTTCTTTACAAACGACCTTCAGTTTGGCCGGGGCACCTCGCAGACGTGCGCATCGAGAGGACGCGGCCGGAGCGCGCCCTCCGGGACTCACCCTTCCGTCGCCGCCGCTGTGCAGGACAATGTCCTCCTGAGAAAGGGCCCGGCCGCCCCCGGCCGCGGCCCTGATGTGCACGCCCTGGGGGCCGTCCATGCGCAGGCTTCGTGTGGGCGATTCTAATCTGAAAGGAGGGCAGGGGACCAAGGAAAGACAGTGTCACAAAGAGCCACCCAGGAATCCCTCGGCGAACAGCTTTGCACAGAAAATACAAGTGGTACAGCATATGGTATCGTCGCGTCATTCTTGAATGCTAATATATTGTACATTGATCATGGAAAAGGCCAGAAATTAACCTCCTCTCAGTGAGAGCCCATGAAATTGGTGTCCTCTAAGAACAGAGAAGACGCCAGAGAGCCTAACCCTCCGCAGCAGTTTCAGACGCGGGGTCGAGCACTCTCGTGCGTCACTCCAGGCGGAAACGCTCTTTGCGAATAACTGTGGAACTATTGTTTAGTTCAAGCACAGGCTCTTTTGGGAAAAAGACAAACTGAAGGGCAACACGTGCATTTGCTCCATCTTCATAAACTAGAATGTATGTTTGGCATTTAGGTTTTGTTTGCATTTATTATTTTCTTTTATTAATTTAGGAAGAGTACAGGGCGATGCAAAGATTTCTTTTGGAAAAATACCGAACGGGTGGAGTTAATACACAGGATGGGGATTGGCCTCAGCTGGCTTTGTTTTTATACAGTTAAAAAGAATCTCGTTGTGATGAAGTTAAGCATAATACAGAAGTTCTAGGAATATATGGACCAGGAAATTTGCCTCTGCCTGGAAAACATGGAACTTCCACCAGATGGCGCCATAGGATCATGAAAGATTTTTCAGCTGCTCCACCCCAACCCCACCCAGAAGTTGGAAAGGCTGATTGAAATGTTCAAAGACCTGGGAGGGGAAGAAAGGGAGAGAAAAGGAGCTGTATTCTCCTGCAGGGTGAGCCCAGAGTGCAGGTGGGTCGGGGAGAGAAAGCGAAGTGATTAAGAAGAGAGAAGTACCCTGGTCAGGAATTTGCTTTTGAATTGACTGAATATTTATTCGATAGAGTTTTAAATTAGATGGCTGCCACCTTTCACTGAGGCGTGTTTTGTCTACCAATATTTGTTATCGTGAACAAAGCCTCGCTTTCTTATGCACATCTCAGCATGTGAATTAAGATCTGTTACGTATCTTGAAACCTCAGTTTGCGTTTGAGAAAACTCGTAGAGATACTTTCGACCTGGTTTATTGGCCACAGGATGTTGAGCTTTGGTTACAGGGAAACACAGTATTTCTAGATCACCTTGGTCTGGCTCGTGGCCCGTTTTGCTCTTTTGACCTTTGCCAGCTGCTCCTTTGTCCTGCCTGGATCGACCAGAAGGAGGAGGGAAGCGGAAGGCAGGGAAGGAGCCTGGCCAGCTGCCGGTCAAGGCCTACTCCGCCCTCCGCAAACCGTCTGTGACCTTGAAGACCGTCTGTGACCTTGAAGACCCTCGTGAAGGGGAGTCTGGTTCAAAGATCAGTCACCCACACAATGACCTCAGTAGGGCCAATTACGCGTTTTTAACCTTATTACAATATGAAGCTTCTAGAAGAGCAAATTTCTTCCCCTTTGCCTTCATTTCTAGCCTTGAAGATGAGCTATTTCAGCTCAGTTCAGCTTAAGACTCACGGCATCAAAAAGGCTGCAATTAGAACGCTCTGAAGTATACATTTTTATGAACACGTTGAAGAGCAGAGAGAAAATAATTTAATTTTTCTTTCTGTTATGTTTTAGTTCGCTTGTTTGATATCTACCCTTTTCTTCAAATATGTGAATATATAAATATCTACCACCGACATAAAGAGCAAAAACTTTTGAATACTCACAGAATTCTATGCAGATAAAGAAACAAGCTGTGTGTATGTATATAGAGACACACAAAATTCATGTTAAACAAGTACAATTAAGATAATTTGGTGGTTAAAGCAGGTGACATTTAAGTTGTATTCCTTTTAAAATAAAGATAAATAGAAGTCACTCATTTCCCAAAGATTTGCACACATTTATTTATTATAGGTGGTGTACAATATTATATTAATTTCTGGTGCACAACATAGTGAATCAGCATTTTCACCCTAAGATGTGCCCGCCACACTACGTCGCGGAACCGCCACCAAGCGAAGCTACCCCGCTGTTCGGACGAGGCTCCCCTTCGCCTTCTGAGCCCTTCGCTCTGCCCGCCCCGCCTCGGTCAGCAATCAGTGTGCTCGTGAGTCTGTTGTTTTCTTTTATTTGTTTGTTTTTTAATATAATACATTTCCATAACATAAAATTCTTTTTTTCTCAATTACACTTTGCATTCAAACTTATTTTGTATTAGCGTCAGGCGTGCAGCCTAGCGGTTAGACAGCCACGCACTTTTCAAAGCGACCCCCGGGGGGCCCCAGCACCCCCCCCCCGGCACCTGCAGAGGTACCACCACACGCGTGACTAGATCCCGCGTGCGGCACTCTGCATCCCGGGACTGCTTTGTGGCCACCGATTTGTCATTCTTAACCCCTTCCCCTTTCTCACCCCGTCCTCCGACGCACCAACACTGGCAGCCAACGGTCTCTCTCTGCATCTATTCTATTTCTATGTTGTTCGTTCATTTAGTTTGCTCTTTAGAGTCCACCTGTAAGTGAAGTCCTATGGGATTTGTCTCTCACTGTCTGACTTGTTTCACTGAGCCCAATACCCTCTCGGGCATCCATGCTGTTGCACAGGGTAAGATGATCGCATTCCTTTGAGCGCCAAGCCGCACTCCGTGGTATAGACGAACCCCAGCTTTTTTATCCACTCGTCTTGTTGATGAGCACTGGTGTTGCTTCCTTGTCCTGGCTGTTGTAAATAATGCTGTAACAAACATAAGGGGGCATATATTCTTTTGAATTAGTGTTTTTGTCTTCTTCTGCCTTCTTTTGCCTTCTATATATATATACCCAGAAGTGGCATTGCTGGGTCATAAGGCAGTTCCATTTTTAATTTTTGGAGGTAACTCTATACGGCTCTCCACAGTGGCTGCATGAGTCTGCATTCCCACCCACAGTGCATGAGGGTTTCCTTTCCTCCACATCCTTGCCTGCACTTGTACTTTGTGGATTTATTGATGGCAGCCGTTCTGACAGGTGTGAGGTGATATCTCACTGTGGGTTTAATTTGCATCTCCCTGATGATTAGTGACGTTGAGCATCTTTTCTTATGTCCCTTGGCCATCGGTGTGTCCTCTTTGGAGAAGTGCCTATGCAGGTCTTTTGCCCATTTTTTCATTAGGTTATTTTGTTGGCGTTGAGTTGTATAAGTTCCTTATAAATTTTGGATATTAATGCTTTATCAGATGTATCATTGGCAAATACATTCTCCCTTTTAGGGGGCTGTCTTTTCAATCTGTTAATGGTTTCCTTTGCTGTACAAAGACGTTTTAGTTTGATGTCGTCCCGTTTGCTTATTTTTGCTTTTGTCTCCCCTGCCCGAGGAGACATATCAGGGGAAAAAAATACTACTACAAGGACTGTCTGAGATTTTTCTGTTGAACAATAAATTTTGCTTGAATTAGGCAAGTTGCTACTCAAGTTCATATGGAAAAAGGAGCCAGAATAGACAAAGAAATGTTGGAAGAGATAAGCTATGTGGATGTATGAGTGTGTGTATGAGAGAACAGTCCATCCAGACATTAAAATATCTCCTACGGCCTATTTAATTAACAAGGTCAGTACTGCCACTCAAATAAACGGACTTATGGAATAGAGTAGAAAGCACAGAAATAAGCCCACAAGCACAGGGGCATTTCCTACATGATCAGAGTGGGGTTTCACATTGTAGTTACAAAGGTAGAGCTTTTAATAAGTCATCTGAGTGCCAGCGCCTTGTTGGTCAGTTGGAAAAGGTAAAAGTAGACCCAGACCTCATCCCTCACACCTCATACAGGAATAAACTCTAACTAGGTCAAGGATCTAAATGTAAAAGATACGACTGTACCAGACACTTGGCTGCAAGGTCCTCCTCCTGTAGGAAAGTCTTTTCAATAACAGCTTAAAATCTAGATGTAATAAAAGAAATGATTACTAAACTTGAGTGTGTAAACATTAAAAGTAATAAAACAATAGAAAATGTTAACATTCAGAATATACAGTATTTTAATCCCTATGAATTCATTTTTTAAAGTAATTAAAGCAGCAAAGGAGGGGAGTAAATTCGCAGAAGGAGCAGCTTGTCTTTGCTGCACCTTTGTATTCAGTTCTTTTCCTGTATGAGAATTCTCTTCCTACCTGTTTTAAAGTCTCTGCATTCTCCTCTGCTGCCTAGAGTTTTAGGGTTTAACTGTACTGGTTGCTAATTCTTAGCAATGGTAGTTCAATTCTTTATCCATTTACCTTTTTTCTTCTTCTTTTAATAAGCTCATCATCAGCAAAAATTGTTTTCCGTAGGTATTTTTGTGTCATGGATAACAGGATAATTTCTTTATGGTAGTTTTCCTTTCTTTTTATTGTCCTATGGGTTGTATAGGCTTGGTGCAGTTTTTAATGTTGATTTTCCAACTTGGAACTTCTTTGCCATGAGCTAGTATAGACTGAGTCCCCCTACCATGGCCAGGGAGGGCTTGTAGTTCGTGATTTCTTGTAACTTTTTCAACCCATGAGAATAATCTTTCTTGCAGCATCCCTGGGCTCTTGTGCAAATTGATTGGAATACCTGTTCCATTGGCAGGGGCGGGATTTGTGAGTTACAAACCTTCAGGAACTGTCAGCCCCGGCATTTCACGCCCCTGAGGCTATGGCTTGGCCGCTCAGTCCCCAGCAGCGCCGCAGTCCCAGCCTCACCTATCCCCAGCACCCACTTTCTCCGTGGGTGTCTTGGCTTAGCTTCCACCCTGCTCTGCCGAACCATTCACTCTTTATTACTGGAACCTGGGGATTAACCTTTCTTGGTTTCTACTTGAGCAATAGTTATACACTTTTAATAAGTAACCCAGTATTTACAAGTGTTTGAAACGGGAGAAAATGTTTCCTTGTCTGCTCATTGTACTTATTCAGTGAATACACACATATATTATTGACTTTGTGCTAGGCATTGTTCCCCGCAATTTACAGATAACTACTCATTATTTTTTATCTTCACCTGAGAACATTGTTTTCATTGCTTTTTAGAAAGAGAGGAAGGGAGGGAGGAAGAGAAATAGAGAAACATCGATGTGAGAGAGAAGCATCGATTGGTTGCCTCCCATATGTACCCAGACTGGGGACTGAATCCACAACCCAGGTAGGTGCCCTGACCGGGAATCAAACCGGCAGCCTTTCGGTGATGGGACAATGCTCCAACCCGCTGAGCCACACCGGCCCGGGGCCAAGTAATAACACGTAATCAGCATCACATCCCTACTGGGGGGTGGGGAGTTTAGTTTCCTACGCCATATTCACTTCCACTCATCCCCTCGGCTTCAGTTTAAAATGCTCCCTCCTCCATCAGCTCCTGCCGATTACCCTGGGAAGCTTCTGCCCTCTTTCTCCTGTGCCCGCCCTGCAGTGCGCTTGCACCCTGACGGTGAATGGGCGCCGCTGCAGCTGGTCTGCACGGTCAGGGCCGTGCCTTTCCTCGCTGTAGAACCAGCATCCGCACAGGCTCTGGCACATAGGTTCTGGCTGAACTGCAAGGTAGTTATCTTCTTCTTAAAGAAAATAGCAATTGTCATCCCTCTATGATGGCCCTTTGAGCAACTATCAAAATTTACATTGTGATATTTAGACATGTATTTTCCAGAGATAGATTTATAAATGCATCCTGATTTCAACCCTACAAAATCCACTTTCAGTGTTTTCTTCGGTCCCTTAGGATATTCTAGAATCATTTCCACCTCACTCAGGCCAGGAATAGGAATGCCTCTGGACCCAGAAATAAAAAGCAAAAGAGCGGATGGTAAGAACCTATGAAAGTAAACCTGACGACCCTATAACACATCCGTAGAGTCAGGAAGCAGATGAGTCTCTCAGGGGCCCGCGTGGGTCGGGGAGAGTGAGCCCGGCACAGGGGCTTGGCAGTCAGAGCCGGATTCAGACGAGAAGTTGGCTGCTTCACTGTCACTGTGCCTTAGCACAGGCCACTGTCTACCGCTCGGTTCTCTCTTTCACAGAATGAAAATAAAGGTGATTACTTTTAAGGCTGAGCGGATGATTACATGAAATAAATTGTGGCAGCACAGCCCCTGGCAATGGAATGCATTCAGTACATGTCAGTTCAGGCCTTCCGTCTGCACCACGTTCCTCAAGTAAGTCCCTGCGACGGCATTGTTTTCTCCCTCACTTTGGTTGTAACACTCGCATTGGGTTACCCTCCTTTAGTATCACCTTTTAGAAAACAAGAGAATACTCTTTTGCCATATGTTTTTCAGTAAGTTAGCAGAATTTTTGTCCTAATGGGACACCATAAGATGATTGTTTAATTTTGAGATTTATATATTTTAATTGGAGCTTTTAAGCCATTTATATTTAAAGTGATTATTGATGGATTTTTTAAAAATGTATTTATTGCCATTTTATTTTTTAAATATTTTCTTCTGTTTTTTTCCCCCCTTTTTCATTTTACTTCTTCCTAAAGCAAGCCCTTTAACATTTGTTGAAATACTTGTTTGGTGGTAAGGAACTCCTATAGCTTCTTCTCATCTGGGAAGCTCTTTATTTCTCCTTCAATTTTAAATAACAGCCTCCCTGGGTAAAGTAGCCTTGGTTGTAGGTCCTTGCTTTCCATAACCTTGAATCTTTCATGCCAATCCCTTCTGGCCTTAAATGTTTCTGTTGTGAAATCAGATGACTAATGAAAGCTCCCTGGTAGGTAACTAACTGCTTTTCTCTTGTGGATTTTAAGATTCTCTCCCTGTCTTTAAGTTTTGCTTCTTTGGATCCATCTTGTTTGGGACTCTGCTCTTCTTGGACCCATGTGTCTTTTTTCCTTCACCAGTATAGGGAAGTTTTTGGTCATTATTTCTTCAAATAGGTTGTTCATCCTTTGCTCACTCTCTTCTTCTGGTATCCTCATGACGTACACTTGTTACACTTCATATTGTCCCAAAGGTCTCTTAAGCTCTCCTCATTTTTTAATTCTCCTTTCTTTTTGCTGCTTTTCTCAGGTGTTTTTTTCTACTTTGTCTTCTAAATTGCTGATTTGATCTTTTGCTTCATATATCCTACTGTTTAGTTCTTCCAGTGTATTATTTATTTCAGATATTGCATTCTTTATCTCTTTAAGATTTTATTTATTTTTAGACAGAAAAGGAGAAAGAAAGAGAGGAAGAGAAACATCGACGTGCAAACAAACATCAATCAGTTGTTTCTTGCATGCCCACAACCGGGGACCTGGCCCACAACCCAGCTATGTGCCTGACTGGGAATTGGACTGGTGACCTTTCTGTTTGCAGGCTGGCACTCAACCTACTGAGCCACGTCAGCCAGGGCACATTCTTTATTTCTGACTGGTTCTTTGTAATGGTTTCTCTGTCTTTTTCATGCTGTTGAACATCCTTATAATCATTGCTTTAAACTTTATACCTCATATTGCTTGCCTCCACTTCATTTAGCTCTTCTTCTGGAGAGTTCTCTTGTTTTTTCATGTGAGACCTATTTCTTTGTCTCCCCTTTTTGGCTGCCTCTTTGTGTTTGTTTCCATGTATCGGGTCGATCTGGAAAGACTCTGGTTCACACTTATGTCAGACGCTGCCTGTGACTGGCCCTGGACAACCTGTTTGTAGCTATCCATGATCCACAGCTGTGGCTCCGCATGCTGGGCCTGGGTGTGTGCTGAAAGAACCACGCTACACTCCTAGGCTGGCTTTTACCAGCTCCAGGCCTGCAAGGGGATCAGCTGGTTTCAAAGCTCCCAGAGATCTGCCTCCCCCTGCAGGCTGTCAATTAGGCTTAATCACTGAAAGTGCTTCCAGCTGTTCTCTTCAGCAGGGCTGAGGCTCCTCAGGGCAGGGCAGAGGGATTCCTGTGGGTTGGGCTATTGCCCTCTCGGGCGGATGCTGCAGGGAGGGGAGTGCTGTGCCTGAGAGAGATGGCTTCTGCAGTGTTGGGGATGCCTGAGCACAGGGATGCTGATGGGTGACCCTTCAGCTCTGTCCCCAGAGCTACCATCCTCTGCTGAATCCCAGGGTAAGTGGCTGCCAACCCTGAAATGTGTGATAGGCGGGTTAGAGAGGAACAACCCAAAGGCAGCGATAGGCTCTAGGAAAGCACAGGGCGTGAACTGAAGCAGGCAGCAGGGCGAGCAGAGGCCTGGGGCGCAGGGACAGTGAGAGCAGACAGTTGGGACTTTCTACTGCCTTTGAATTTTAAAGTCAGTCATGACCAGTTACATGCCGAGAGTCATAAGAATAGAGACAACTAATGGAATGAAAAGCAACCTGGTAACAATGGCTAAAATATTATCCTGGAGCCTATGCTGGTGTTTATATGTAAGAGTATGTTTGTATTTGAACAAAATTTTTACCTCAGCTCCTGAAACGGGTTTGCAGTTACAAGGGGTGTCTCCGCTGAATGTTCAAAAAGAGCCCCTTCAGGCCCTAAATGGAAAACAAAGATGCGCCACTTTATAAAAGTGAAGAGACACCAGAGTAAACATTTAGACCGCGCACTAAAGCACAGGTAGGATCTGATCTTCGTGACTGAATTTGTGCCGATGTTTGAGTTGGAGGGAAAAAAAAGGCATAATTGCTCTCTTGCTTTTCCAGGGACACCACAGTCTCAGTAGTTCCTATAAAAATATGACTTTAAAGCAGCTTAAAATTCGCAGGCTTATTTTACATCTAGAAAGCAGTATCCGCCCTCAAAATGAAAAAGAAGTAATTTCAGTTGAAAACTGTGTAAGTCCGTACCTTTTAGGTAATAGTGATTTGACTCATTCTCTAGATTTTATAAGTAAAAATTGTATCTTGTGTCATATGTTTCTTAAAGCACATCAGGAAATAAAAATTTTTTTTTCACTTCCGGGACTATATCCTAAGAATCCCACAACACCAATTTGAAAAAATATATGTACCCCTATGTTCATAATAGCGTTATTTACAATTGCCAAGACTGGAAGCAGCCCAAGTGCCCATCAGTAGATGAGTGGATAAAAAAGCTGTGGTACATTTACACAATGGAACACTGCTAGGGCATAAAAAAGAAGGAAATCTTACCTTTTGTGACAGCATGGCTGGGCCTGGATATTATGCTCAGTGAAATAAGCCAGTTAGAGAAAGACAAATACCATATGATCTCACTTGTATGTGGAATCCAAGGAACAAAATAGATTGAGGAACAACACAGAAACAGAGGCCTGGAGACCTGGAACGGACTGACAGCTGTCAGGCAGGAGCGGGAAGGGGGACTGGATGAAAGAAGGTGAAGGGATTAGTCAAAGAACATCCATGTGTAACCCATGGACACAGACCACAGTGTGGTGATGGCCAGAGGGAGGGAGGGGGGCGGGGGCGGGGAGGGCAAAGCGGGGAAAAATGGGGGCATCCGCAATAGTGTCAACAATAAAAATAAAGCTTAAGAAAAGAAAAGAAAAAGAAAAATTTTAAATATTGAAAATTAACTTTCTAATTTTGAGGAGTCATTATCTTCCCAGTCATTTCACTGGTTCTCAGAGAAGCACAGACAAGTACCGGATGAACTGAACTAGTGTTTGCCTTTGTATGTCTTCTAGTCTTTACAGAAGCTCAGCAAATAAATTTAGAACATGTTATGAACATTTTTCCAAAAAAAAAGGTCTTCTTTTGTGTCCTAAAAATGAGTCATATCAGAGGCCCATCTTATCTTTCTTTCAAAGAAAGAAATTTTTGTAAAAAAATTGGGAATCCAAGTACTTGATATAATGGGAATAAAAGAGACTTGGAAGAAGGTTCTTTTGCAAAAGTCATGTCGAAAACAGATGCTTAATAATGTGCAGATAAAAGAGGACTTTATGATAAGCTTTTGGGTTACACCAGTTGGACAGAGATAAAGAGCAACGATGCGGTAGAGGATTCGAGGAGGATGCCATTTTCCGGGGGGACCAAAGAAACTTCCAAAGACAGGTCAACAGCATGGCTGGGTGGCTCAGTTGGTTGGAGTGTCATCCTGTGTGCCGAAAGGGCATGGGTTCAATCCCCAGTCAGGGCCCGCGCCTAGGCTGTGGGTTCTGTCCCCCATCAGCTTGTGTGAGGGAGGCTACTGATGGATGTTTCTCTCTCACATCGATGTTTCTCTCCCTCTCTCCCTCCCTTCCCCTCTGTTTAAAATCAATAAGCATGTCCTTGGGTGAGGAGAAAAAGAAAAACAAAAAAGAAATTCAACAAAATTCAAACTGGTTTTTCTTATCTGCTTGAAAGATTCCAGAATAAATGTGCCAAAAGTACCATTCGCTTTTGCAGAAGCGCATTCCATGGGATATTGTTTTTCTCAAGAGGGAAAGAAGACGTGGTATGGGATATGACTCAGCCTTAAAAAGAAGAAAATCTTGCCATTTGTGACAAGACAGATGGACTTTTGAGGGCATGATGCTAAGTGAAATACGTCAGACAGAGAAATACACATACGTTATGATCTCATTTTTATGTAGAGTCCAAAACAAAACAAACAAAACAACCGAATCCATGGATACAGAGACCAGATTGGTGGTCAACAGGTGAGGGGGTAGAGGGTGAATAAAAGGGGCGAAGGAAATCGAAAGGTCCAAAATTCCACTTATAAATGGAAGAAGTCATGGGTTGTAATCTACAGCACAGGTCTGTGGTTAGTAATACTGTGTTGTGTATTTGAAAGTTGCTCTTCAGTAAATTTTAAAAGTTCTTACCACAAGAAAAAATGTGTAAGTCTGTCTGGTGATGGATATTAACTAGACTTACTGTGGCGATCATTTCACAATTTATACACACGTGGAATCATGACCCGCACACCTGAAACTAGCATAATGTTAGACGTCAGTTATAGCTCAGTAAAATAAAAAGAGCTGCCACATACCAGTTACTCGAAGTCTATCTGTGCCAATGACAACTTGGCTTTCATCAACAGTGAACAGCGGCTTCCCCTCTTTGGAATTGATCTGAAACTGTTGACTCTGGACGTCCACCATTTCGGGACCTGAAGGATTCATTAAAACAGGTTATCGCGAAGTGTTTACGACATGCAGTGTCCGAATCTCTACTTTTACACATTCCATGTCATCCAGCAATAGCAAATTACTAAATACTTAGAATTTGTTACCCATAGGGGTTTTTTTAAAGTGTTACGATTAAAATTTTAGGTTCCAGGTCTAACTCTATGATATTATTTAAATTAATTTATGTCAAACCTGTGCTAATCTGTATCGAATATGTGTATGCATAAATTATTTAAAAGTTACTTTGTTCAGGTTTTTGAATCTTGCCAACAATCCTCTCATTCTGCCACTCATCACTTCACTGTGCATTCCTCTGAGTGCTCACCAGGTGAGGGTTTTGTATTCTGAAATGCGAGGTTTAGGAAAGACCATCTTATGAATGGCTTCCTTTAACGGATAATGTCGCCCCAGAAAATGGCTCCCACTCACCCCTTCTTTTCCTCTCGGAGGCAGGAACGTCCATTTCTCCTCCAGGTTTCATTCCCTCCCCCGAGCTTTGGGCCCATTGCCCCGCGCCGTTCCCGCGCCCCGCAGCTGTGTGATGGGTGCGGCCGGTGCGGCGTGGGGGGCAGGGGGGAGGGCCGCGGAGGCCGGTGCCCTCCGGGCGTGAATGGGACCCTGTGCCCCTCGCGTGGCGTTTCGCAGTCCCCTTCGTGCGACCGCCCCCTACCCCTGGCGGCGTCACCGACTAAGTCTCTAGAACGCAGCCTTCAGAAGCCTCTGCTTAAGGACCCGCCCGCGCGCCCTGGCTCTGGGGTGGCCGGCTTTGCAGTCTCAGCGGGGAATGGAAGCGCGCGGAGAAGGTGGATCGCCTACGGCTTGTGCGCGCGCGTCCCTGGGTGCCCACGGTGCCCACGGTGCCCACGGAAGTCGGTGGGGCCCTGCTAGAAGTCCAATTGCAGCTTTTCATTTAATCCAGGAGTCCACTTGGGACAAGATCGCCAACGTATTCTTATGTTATTTTATTAATTTGCATCTCAAAGCCCTTCAACGATTCTCCATTTCAGAGTGTGTGTGTTCGCGCCTCACTTACAGAGTGGAACTCATTTTCTCCTGTTTTATCTTCTTTCTCTTCGGGAAGCCTGCCTTCTTTGAGAGCTGCCTGTGTTTTTGCTCTTCTGAGCTGTCGCTCAGACTTTGCCGCCTGGTGACTCAGTGCCCTCAGTCACCTCTTCTGCGTCACCGAGACATCTTACATATAAACACTGATTTCCATCCAGTGATGAATGCAAAGTTGTCTGACTTCAAAATGAGGAGGAAGAACAACCGAAATAATTTATCCAGTTAAGAGTTCAAAGAGTTTTGTTCATTGGAATTTCATGTAAACAACTTCAGGAGATTTTATTGAGGATTTCTGTTAAATCATTTTTTAAGAATAGGAGTTTTTTACTTTTGGAACTCTTAAGAAATAATGACATTCTTTATATGTTATTAATTACTTGGCAGCATAGAGAAACTAGCACATAGTTTAATAAATGTGGAATAAATGACAAAAATGGGCCAAAGTCCCTCAAACTTTTAAAAGCTACAGTCATTTAAAGACTTTTAAGAAATGATTGTATCATATAATTAATCAAGAACATATGATTGGATTTAGACAAATTTCAAGAACATGAGTGCTGGATAAACTCAGATTTTCTCTGGATCCACTGAGAATTTCATTGGACTTTAGTGGTCAAACCAACCTCTAAGTAAAAGAGAAATGCAATTAATTATTTAGAATAAATTATGAAGATTAAAACAACACAAAATGTGGAGTTCTTGCTTTAGTATAATAAAAAGGAATCATTAGGTTAATATATGGCTATAGTTTCCAATGTAGTTTACAAAACATTATTCTGTTTTGTAAAAGCAGCCATTAAAAAATAAAAAAGAGACACTGATTTTTCCTGCTTCTCGTTGCCGCAGGCGTTGTGAGGGCTGAGTTCCCAGGGCTCCGGTCCTGCACAGTGAAGGCTTAACTGCAAGGTCATGGCAAAACACCTGAAGTTCACTGCCAGGGCTGGGCCGGGCCATGAAGGGAGCAGGGAAGGTGCACACAGGACCCTAAGCAAGCCGCGGTGGGTGGGCTCACTGAGGGCGTGGAGCGACGTCCCTGCTGGGAGAAGCCTTGCCGCCCACGGCAGAGGGAAAGCCACGAAAACTGCCAGAGGGCCCACAGCCCAGAAGAAGCGACCCGCGGGGTCAACTTTGTGATGCGCAAGAATCAGGGCTGCCCAGGCCTGTGAGGGGAGCAGGCCCAGGAGGAGACCCCTAGCGGGCTGTGTCTCCGCCTCTTTCCTTCCCGCCACTCCGTTTTCTCATACTGTTTCGTGCAATAAACCTAATCTCTCTCTCTCTCTCTCTCTCTCTCTCTCTCTCTCTCGCACACACACAAAATAAGAATAAAAAATAAAAAAATAAATAAACGAAAGAGACTTTCAAAGTTACCAGTGTCTGTTGGCAGCATACCTCTCATCTCTTTTCCTGTAATCAAAAATGCATTCCAATTTCTTAGATTTGGCAAATCTGTAGAATGTTGATACTGTAGGGAATGTATACACATTCCTTTTACCAGGCTGGTTTGCTGTTTTGTTATTATTATTTTTTTTTAATGTATTGATTGGAAGATAGAGAGGAAAGGAGGGAGGGGGAGAGAGAGAGAAAAACATCGAGTTGTCCTTCCACTTACTCATGCACTCATTGGTGGATTCTCGTCTGTGCCCTGACCAGGGATCTGCCTGCAACCTTGGCGAATGGGGACAACACTTTAACCGACCGGGTCACCCAGCCAGGGCTGTTACTCGTTCTACTCCTTTTTCACACTGTGCAGAATTTCATGTGACCTTACTCTCATGTTCTATGATTTTAGCTGATTAGAGGGATGTACGTGGCCCATCCAAGGGCATCTGGTTGAAGATTAGTTGGACCAGTTAGAATGTTTTGCTGTGAATTTAGAATTCATGACATTTATAACAAGTAGAAATGACTTGAGTTGGTTGGTGTTGAGAACGGCAGCCAATGAGATGAGGAACCAGAGAGGTCCCGTAGCTCCTGTAGAGTTGGAACAATGCAGCCATGACGCCCAAGGGAGAGGCCCGGGCCAATTACTCTAGAAAGGAAGGGTACTTGGCAGAGAGGGGGAGGGGACAAGTAGGGAGAGAAGGAGGGAGGGAGGGAGGGAGGGACAGAGGGAGAACAAATACTTGGATCTCGGCCCCTGGCCTGTTCTCTTGAGGCCAACTACTTCGGTTGCTCAACTATGGTCTCTGTGAGATTCTTTTGTGTCCTGCAATAATCATGACATCTCTTGTAGTACCTTGAATGGTCCTCTATCTCTTGGAATCAAAATAACTTTCATTAAAATACTTCAGACTATCCCCCGTGATGCTAATTATTCTCTGTGGACAACACAGCATGGTATTTTTTAAATCCATACATTGATTGTTCATAAATAACTTTGAATTCTTTAGAAGAAAAAAAAACACATACCCACTGAGCACACAGTTCAGGGACCACCTACACGCAAGGTGCTGTGACAACACCTGACTCACCCACTGTCACTCGGCCCGTGACCTCTCCGTCAGAGTTGCGAGCGTTGACCGTCACATTATGAGCGGACCGGAGCAGCAGGGGCGAGTCCTAGGAAGGATTTATGAAATTAGCCAAATGTACACTAATTAAAACAATCCTATGCTTGTATTGGTATAGAAGGGCAAGATTTATATAAAATAATTTCTCCACAGTCACAGGTCCTGTGATCCTAATAAATGTGTTTATGAAACTCTTTTAAAACCTTGAATTATATTAAGGGGTAAAGGTATAAACTTTTTAAAATAAAATATAACAGTCTTATGCTTGTATACACTGGTTACAGTGTGCCAAATCAATTCTCAAGGTAAAGTTTGAAACCAATCAAGTTTTAATGTGTTTCTCTCTTTTCAAAAGAATTAAAATTTCACTTTTTTATTATTTATGTTTAAGACATGATATATTTTAAGAAGATAAATCATAGAATGTTTAGCTCTTTTGTAATAAATACGATGTTACTTTGAAAATGCAAGGGATTTTCCACAATTGCAAAAGAGCTTTTAAGATGTGTTGGATGCCTATTTTTCTGAGCTTTTTTTTGTAAGATAAAGTGGCTTTATACGCACGTTAGTGCTTTCTGCAGTATCAGTTCCGAACAGGAGCTTTTGTTCAACTGAATGTTGCTTGCTTTTATCAAAACACTTTCTCCCAAAGGCGTGCAGTGATTTAGTATTGGATCCAAGTGGGCGGGCTATGGTTCACTCAGAGGAAACCAAATATCTCCCAAAGTTGTGGGGAAAAATGTGATTTTTCAGAGTAAAGAAGTTTTAGGAGTGCTTTGCAACTCAATCCAGCAGGTCAGAAATTCTCCAGCTTGCTTTGTGGAAGCAGATGGGTTTACCAGCCTCTCACATTTTATGCAGTGATGTGACCTTCATGCTTGTTTTTGCATTGTTATACAATAACTAGCATGATAATAAAAGTTAAAAATTTACCCACAATTTTAGCGTCTGTCCTCTCACTTTATCCTCCACATTCGAAGTAGGTACCACTACTTCTAACTTACAGGTGACAAAGTTGGGTTCAAAGAGGTTAAACGATAGCTTGCCCAAGGTCACGGCTGGCAATTGACAGTTCCGTGAAGCCACCCAGTCTGTAGATGCCACCCCCTGCTCTTTGTTTTTCTGGTGTTAAGTTGTTGGAGTTCTTTATAAATTTTGGATATTAACCCCTTATCGCATGTATCATTGGTGAATATGTTCTCCCATGTAGTAGGTTGTCTTCCCATTTTGTTGAAGGTTTCCTTTGCTGTATAAAACCTTTTTCATTTGATGTAGTTTCAATTTATTTTTTTTCTTTTTTCTTTTGTTTCCCTTGCCCAAGTAGATAGAGCGGGGAAAAATATTGCTAAGAAAAATGTCCAAGATATTCACTCCAACTTTCTTTTCATTGGTTTTAGTGCAGGATATCTTTTTAAAAATTATTTTACTCTTAACCTATTGGTGTCTTCACAGTTAAAGTGGATTTTTGTAGGTGGCATTCAGTTAGTCTTGCTTTTTCACTCAGTATGATAAGCTCTGGCTTTCAGTTGGCGTGTTCAGACCACTTACAGTTGATGTGACTACTTGTGTGGCTTGGATTAAATCTCCACCTCGCTGTTTGTTTTCTATTTATTCCATTTGCTCCTTGTGTCCTTTATTGGCTCCTTTTGGACTGAGTATAATTTATGCTTTCACTCAATCTTCTTTGTTGACATAGTGGCTATATTTTGTGTGTGTTTACTTTAAGAATTACATTATACATCTTTAACTTATCACAGGCTGTCTTCAAGCAATTTTATGTCAATTCATGTATGATTTAAGAACATTATAATAGTACTTCCATGTTGTTCGCTCATTGTCTTTGTTTCATTGTGTTTGCACATTTTACTTCTATCCCCGTTGTAAATCCCAAAATATGTTATTATTTCTGCTTTAGAGGTCAAGTATCTTCTAACATGTTTAAAATAATGAGTGTTATTTTTGTTTACCCACGTATTTACCATTCCTGGTATTTTTCATTTCCTTGAGAAGATCCATATTTCTATCTGATAGCACATTCCCTTTGCATGAAGTACTTCCCTTAATATTTCCTATAGTGCCAGTCTGCTGAAGTAATTTTTTTCAGTCTTAGAAAGTCTGAAAAGAGATTTTATTTTGGCTTTGTTTTTCCAAGATGTTTTGCCAGGCTTAGGATTTTAGGTTGGTTGGACTTTGTTTCAGTCCTTTCAAGTTGTTGATTCACTGTCTTCTGGTTTGAGTTGTTCCTCACTATTGTCTGCTACTATCCTTTAAAAAAAAAAAGTAGTTGTCCTTTTCTTCTGGCTGCTTTATCTTAAGTTTTAAGCAATTTAATTATGATGTGCCTTTATGTAGTTTCCTTCTTGTTTCTTTTGTTTGGGGTTCATTAAGCATATATGATCTCATCACATTTGGAGAAAATCACTTTCTTTCCCTCAGATAATATTTGTCCTCTCTTCTATCTCCTCTCCCTCAAGGATTCCAGTTGCATGTATGTAAGACCCCTTTACATTGTCCCTCAGTTGACTATTACTCTGTTAATTTTTTTCAGTCTCATATCTCTTTATTTTATTTTGGTTAGCATCTAGTGCTGTATCTTAAAGTTCAATGATCTTTTCTTCTGTAGTGTCCAGTCTGTTGTTAATATGTTAACTCTACCTATTGACTTTTTCTTTTTAAATTGCAGGTGTTACACTTTTCATCTCTGGAATATTCATTTTTTCTGCGCTTCTCTTTGCCAGGTCTCTCCATAACATGTCTGTGCTTTCCTTGACCTCTGGGCCCAGATGGAACATAGTCTTCTCAAGCTTTGCTCTGGGCCACACTACGTCACTTGGACGAAGTATGGCACTTCTAAGGCTTCCCGTTAAGCTTGGTTCTACGGTGGCAGGCCAGAATTTATTCTAGTGCTGGTCCCGTGCCACCCCTGAGCCAACACCTTGCTGCGTATTCCACCCGATGGCTGGTAGAAATGCAAGCTATTCCCAACCTGTGTGTGCACTCCCTCCTTCTGTCCCCAGGGAGTGGTTGTCTTCTCGGCCTCAGGCAGCTTCCTCACGCACCCCTGCATGGACAAGTAGCTGCATATGGACTCCGTGTGGGGGCGGTGACCGCAGGGTGGACTCTCTGCAGCCTCTGAGCTCCGTCCGCGTGCCCAGCCGTCTAAAGGTTTCAGCATCCTTTCCGGGTGGACCCCAGGGCCGCCCAGCTCTGTGATAGTCACGTCTTGGTGATATTCACATCTTGGTCTGGCATCTTTGTGGGCTCCTCCCCACCGATACGCAGCTTTATTCACACTTGGGCAGCAGTTGCAAATATTCCCTGCCTTTCATTGCTGTCGCAGGCAAGGCGTCCAGTGGGGTCTCCGCCCCGCTGCTGCCGTTCCGGTCTCTGTCCCTCTGTGGGCTTCGACCGGAAGCTGTCCCTGCCTCTTCAGGGCTGCGCACTTGAGAGACAATCATTTTGAAAACAGCTTTACCTCCGTATGTTTCTGTTTCCTTTCATGTTTAACCATGCCTATATATTTTTTAATACAACCTTTTTGTTTGATCAGATACAAATGCTATGTGTTTGGGCAAGGTGAACGGGTTTAAGTCATAAACTCCAAGCTCAGCCTTGACTAGATCTCATGTAAAAACTTTGAGGGGATAACTGAGCCATCACAGGTACCATGTTGAATTGTATTTATAATAAAAAAGTAATGAAACGTAAATAATACATCAGTGCACACCGAAATTACAGGACACATGTCAGTTCTGCTAATCAAGTTATTGAAATTCATATTAGATACAATATACTTACAGTTTTGATATCACGTAACATTCTCCCAAGTGTTTGTGTAATTTTATGTATCGATCAGCATATCACATTAATGCATCACTGTGAGACTTTAACAGATGATGACCTCAAATAATTTATGTAATTTGGCTCCCTGGTTTTTTTAAAGTATACTGTAGATGAAAGAGTCTAAAAAGATATCACTAAGAGTATTACTAATTCCCGAATAGGAAACTTGCTAGGATCTAATCCCAAGATTTCAGTCACCAGCCTATTTTACCAGCCTTACCTTTTAAAACTGCCGTAGGGGATCCGCCAACAGAACTCTGAGGTGGGGGTGGGGGAGGAAAGGCTGGATTCAAATAGTTAAATGTTTTGTTCCCATCTGTCTTCTGTTTGTATAAAAGCTGGCATTAATTCCCCGTGACCCTATGTGACAGGGCTGTTAATACACGGCCCCACCATAAGGATGGATGTGAGCGTGTTATCCGAATAAGCTCAGAGGACCAGCCCATGGGGCAGCAGCCTGCGACGTCCGAGGGCGCGGCTGCGCCGACTGCCCGCTGGGACGGCCGTGCCGACCGGCCCTGTGCGCTCTGTGCCCTGCGGGAGCTCTCCCCTGCAGGCGGCCCTTCTGCCTAAGTTTTACCCTGCGTCACCTGCAGTGGGTGGTAGAGTTTGGGGGGTGCTTTCTCTCTCTTACAAGACCCCGTGTTCCTCTGTGGTCGGTGGGCTCCCTTTCTAATTGCTCCGGAATAGCTGGTCCGGCCTCTGCGTGTTAGACATACTGACGTGCCCTTCCATTTCTAGAGAGGTGGGAGGAAAGTGAAGAGTGTGCACTTCGTGCCAAAGTTTCACAGTTGATTTAGCTACTCGCACCTAATCGGTAATCTAGCGAAATATTTCTCTCTACTGCAAAACCCATAGTGTCGCATAAGGAAAAATAGAACATATTACAGAAGTTGTTTGACCAGAGTTTGTGCTGGGCTCTACTTGTTATAAATTTCATAGAGGTAAGTGAACACAACGCTGAGGCTGATTTCCTTTTAAAGTCGCACAGTTATTTAATGGTGATGTTTAATGTCTTAATGGAGAATCCTAAAGGACTGCAATCTGTATAATTAGTATAATTGCTACCAGAATGTACCACGATGACGCTAATTTTGTTCTACATTTTTCAGATAATCTTAAATGCCTTGAAAGAAGTGTATTTGAATTACTTGCACTAATGGAAAGAAGTTTATTGTTTTTGATAAAGGTTTTCATGACCGAACCTTTACTTTACTATGGTCTAAATTACTCCGGTCACCAAATTCAGACTTGAAGCACACGACAATGGAGCCTGTTAAGAGGGTGATATCAGGAAAAAGTGCCACAGCCTCAGCTAAAGAGTCTGTCATGACGGTGTGTACTCGTAGACGTTTTAAGGACTCTCTTCGGAAGCACACTGAATTTTTGTACGTAACCATTGTTTGTTTTCATAAAACAGAAGTGCTTTAAGCGTCTCATCATTTTCTTACCAATCGGGAGCGTATTTCCTTGGCATACAGCGGGAATAAAAATTCTGACTCCCCGTCCAGGTACAGCCCGTCCTCTGTCACGCGCAGGTGGCCCATTCCTGTCTGCGAACAAGATGAGACCGCCGAGGCTTTGTTACAGCTTTCTTCTTCCTTTCCTGTAGTATCAGCTTAAATCACACATGCACTTTCATCGATTTCCTATCAGCACTTTTCTGTATTACTCTCAAAAGATCAGAGAATAAGAGACATCAGAGAAATGTCGACAAGAGAACTAACCTGAACTCAAATGAAAAGGAGCCTTACACAGCTTTGATGTGGCTGGGGTGGTTCAACCTTGATTCAGTTTCCAAAAAATGTTAAACTAAAGTATTTTAAATTTAGACATGAAACGGAGGCGACGTAGCAAACATGCACACCACATGTTGCGCTACTTTCATAAAGAAGAGCCGTCCGAGGGCCTCAACTCTGTTGGGAGGCTGTACAACTATGGGTGTTATAGATTTTAAAGAAAAAACCACAGGTTAAATATATTTATATAGAACATTTATCTATAACTTATCACTATATTAATTTATATTGTATACTTGTATTAAATATTGTAATGCACTTACATTAAGTATATTACATTTATTAGCACACACTTCAACCTACATTTTGATTGGATTCATAGTTTACCCCTTTAAGCATGTGAAAATATAGACACTTACTTATTATGTCAATTAAAGAAATAATGTTTCTACTGACCATAGAATTATGACAGGAAAGAAACAAATGCACAGCAAGCGAGGGCTGCTGATTAACAGAAGGCATTTCAGACTGAATGCTGCAACTCTCGTGCCTGGAAGTAGCCGTGCCTGTACCACGCCTTCAAGATGAGTGTGAGGAGAGGATTAGCCAACCTGCGCGTCCGCACAGCCTTTTTTTCTCACCGTGACTGTCTTATGTTCTACGTTAAATAAATATTTATTCAAAAAGTGCACAGAATATTGTCAGAGCATAGAAAGCTACCTGGATATCTTGGTAACATGAGATTGTTTTAAAAATATGAATTTCTTAGGACTACTCATATTTTATTTACTAAATCTCTGTTAAATAATGAAGTGTAGACACGAATTTATTGCATGTCAGCATGGAGCTTTTAAAAAAGTTAGAAAGTAGTATGTGAATGGTAAATATTTATTAAAAAATGAGTTATAAAATTTTACCAGTGAATTAAATAATCATTAAACAATCATGACTCAAACAACCATAAACTCAAGATTATTACAATTTTCCCCCATGTAAAGATAATTACTAATAAAAATTATAATAAAAAACAAATAAAACCCAACAAAGTTGGTGTCAGTTGAAATCATCTAAAAAGGTAAAAAATGTAAATGTTATATGTATTTTTGCTACTGAAAATGCTGATACAGATGGAAACATTAATGACATTAAAGGAAGCTTCTACCCCATACAATGTGGATGAAATGATGATGCAAATAAAACAAGAACATGTTTACCAACAGAAAGGAAAGAAAAAATACTTACTGGTGAAAACCACATCACTTTAAGAATCCAAATTGTAAGAGCAAAGTTCACAAGAAAGATGATGAGTAACAGAAGAACAAACAGGTAGAGGCAACGCTTTCTCCAGCCATAAATGCCAATTTTGCAGACGGTCTGGTTCTCCGGCCTCTCTATGAGGGTGCCTTCTGTGGCTGTCGTATACTGTTCACGCACCATCTGCCATGGGGTGGGATCAGGGTGTGGGAAGAACGGGGAGGGGGGAAGAGGAACAGACAGAAAGAGAGAGCTTGTTTGTCAACACTGATTTCCTGTGAGTCCAACAAAATATTTTTTATCCCAATAATAAATTTACAAAATTAATGATTTTTAAAGATAATTAGATATTGCTTTGAAACAGGTTACTATATTTCAGCCACAGAATGATATTTAATTTGTCATGCAAAATATTTTAGATATGACACACCCATTTCAAGCCCAATGGCCATATTTTCAGATATTAATCAGTAGATTCAATATATATACAGCTTGCTTTCAAAATTCTGCATGGTTAAACCCGTAATTGAATTATCAACCTAAAATAATTAAGTTATCAAGTTCTTAAAAGATTGAGTGGGAAGAAAATCAATCTAGTACCTACTTGTCTTCTAAAAAAAATAGAATCCAAATTACTCAATTTTATGTGAAATGATTGTCTTTCATCAGCTATCAAGTTACTCAAGATTAAAAAGCCTCTTTATAAGATACCTCCTACATTGACTTTTGGCTACAATTCAGTTTCCAAGTATTGGCCCACTTCAAGAAAGATCAAAGCATGTATGTGTACAGAAGTGTAGGAGAAAGGCACAATATTGTTTGATATTGGCTATTCTCTTTGCCTTTCAAATACATCCTTTTTTTGATTTAGATGGTCCAAAATGAACAAGAGTTTATTTATTGATTCAATATAGAGCCTTTTAGAAAAAACAGTATTACCTTTTTTTAAAGTCTTGTTTTTGTGTTTTGTCAAATTACTTAGAAAATACCTGCAAATGTGTAGAATATTAGATTGCATAGTATTTTCTGAAAGCTATCTCAACAACAAAAGTATCACCAAATACAGTGTTCAGTTATGTAGTTACTCAAGAAAATTTTTTGTTTTTAAACACAGGAGGGTCTTACAGAGTTGTCTATTGGCATGATAACTTGTGAAAGTTATCCTAGTACCACAAGTGAGGTAATAGTTTTCTTCTACGTCCCATAATGCTATGCAACTCCGATTCCCAGAGTTCTGAGAACTTGCCTCCCTCTTGCACTTGCGGGCATCTTTTGGCAGCAGGCACAATATGAGTCTTATTGGTGAATTACATACATTTCATGTCATGAGAATTAGGTTTCACAAGGAGTCTCCTGTCTCTTGTCATTATCACATGCTCAAACAAAGCCCATTTGTTTTCATTGGGCATCTAACATTCACAGTACACTCCGTTAGCGGCACATTAATTGCCCCAATACATCCCCAAATATATTTAAATATCCTCTATATTTGGAGGCATCTAGTTCTTGAACACTTGTCACCATAGCTCCAAACGGAAAATGCACAGCTCTAATAATAACATTGATATTTAGCACAGAGTAAGCATTATACTCCCTGTTATAGTACATTAAGTATTAAATTCATAGTCTTTTGACTTATAAGTCAGATCATGTTAGTATTTCAAAGAATATGTATTTACAGACTAAGATGATGCTACATCTTCACAAAGTTCTAGAAACTATTACTACAGATAAAACTCATATCAAATCAGAACTCTATAATATCATTAATATAATCAATCAAGACTCCAATACCAATTTACTAAAATTATTATATAAATGATTCTATACTATTTATGTATTTTCCATGTAGACACACATTAAAATATTTTAAATGGAGCAATTATGTTAAAAATGTTTTCACCATCAATTCCCCATAATAGAAAAAAACTTAAATATTTATTTCATATATTTGTCTCAAAATGTTTTGATAACAGAATACAATTTAATCAAAGTAATTGCCAAAGTAGTAACGACCTTTCATTTGTCTTTATTGAGAGTAAAGGGACGATCATTCAGTTGAGTTTAACCACTACGTAAGGTGGAATTTGCACAGGAAGTTCTGCGGATAGCTTCAACTTACTTCCCTGCTTCTGAACCCAACCAAAGGAATCTGAAATGCAAAATTTTCTCTCCTGACTCCATTGTCCTATCTTATTCAACATCCAAAAAATATTTCATTGATGAATAGCATTTGTCCCATCTCCACAAGGGCGGGGTTGTTTTCTGGTTCCGTCCTGGTCAGCCCCTTGGCTCCATCACTACCAATGTTTGCTGACTTCATGCATGAATAGAATGCAAAGACAAATTCTCCATTAAATACCGTGTTTCATGTTGTTCTACAGGATTTCACTTTGGTCATACCTACAGAAGTAAACTGATTAAGGAAAGAAAATTGTTTTCTGAAATATTCATGCAAAAATAAAATAGCCATAAAAACGGGAAACCTTGAGCAGGTAACTGCTGCAGCTCCTGCCCTGCGCCACGCGGGTCTCCTCTCCTGACAAGAACTCCCCCTCTTGGCAGCCAGGGCGGCTTCCCGCTCCCGGTGCGCGCCGGAGTCCCTGCCCTGGGCCTGCCCTGGCTGAACATGTAAAACTAAAATGAAGGTGAAGTCTGAAGTGGTAAGTCCCAGGGGTGAGGAATACTTCAATGCGCCTGAGGACATCATAGACACCTGGCCCTGCAGCTGGTCCAGAGAATAATGAAGCTGGACAGGTGCTGATGAGGCTGAGAAGAGGAGGAGGAGGGAGGGAGAGGCAGACACATAGAAGCAGCTTCTGAGGGCAGAGGCAGGCCCCGAAGGAATGGAAAGGGAGCAGAACCGTACTCAGGACTGCAGTTTCTTCCTTCCTGCTGGGGAGCCACAGCGTCGGTGGGAGGGGCTGAGAAGCAGCAAGGGGCCGTGACAAGCCAAGTAGAACAGAGGGCGGAGGACACCCCTAGGTCCCACAAAGTACGTGAGATGAAACCACATGGCCACCCAATCCCAACTCGCCGTTACTAAATGGATTGTCACAACCAATGTAATAGCGATTTCATTTAATGACTAGAAAGTATGTTTGTTTTTTTTCCAGAGCAATATGGAAAAATCTTATTTGCAGCATTTTAAGTGCAAGCTAAGCCAAAATCTTTCGGAAACTTGCATGTGTTTGTCTTTGGAATTTGATATTTAAACACATTAAAATATTACTTTTCATTTGAGTTTGAAAGAAAACCTTAGATAAATTCCAGAACCTATAAAACCAACAGACACTTGAACCGTAAGTTTTGAAACTTCATTAAGTGTGCCTCTTTGTACCTGTCTTCACAGAATGTGTCCAAGAAAATAAGCAAAAGATAAACAAAGCACATTTTGTACTTCATCTTGTACTAGTGAGTTACTCATCCTGCTGGCAGATCTTTCAGCCAGTTGAGTTATATTTTCCCTTGTTATCTTTCTGTACGCCTCCCTTTAAACACTTGTTTTTGGATTGCCCCATATTAACTCAGGAAACACAAAGAAAGAACAGACAGCTTTAGTAGTAAGCCACAGCATAGCATGTGTTTACCTTTTACCCTATTTACATTTACTTTTTCACACACATATATATAATATATATATAATGAACAACACTTCGTTTCTTTCCAGATTCGGGGAGAGAAGTAATCCTCCTTTTTTCACTCCAAGAATAGTTGAAAAGCTGAAGGTGGTGTTTTGCTGTTGTTTTGCTCATCCCCAATTTATCAGATGACTTCGATTTTTGTCCTCATTGATTTTAATCTGTTTTTTAATGTCTATAACAAACTAGTGACAAAATGTTATGTCAATGTAATTCCACCAAGAAGTTTAAGAGTAGAATTAGAAAACCAGTGATGTTAAAGATTATAACTTGTCTAGATTAACCACAGTGTACAATGCAATGCTTGATAATATGCAAATCTATCACGGTATTCTACAAATAAAATATTAAAAATATAAAGTATGCTAAAAATACATAGTACATTAATAATTGGAATAGCTTAGAAGAGGTGAAATAAGAAGCAAATTACATTTTGTTGATACTTAAATCATCTTGAGATAAACTTACTCAACATTGTAAATTTATTTTGTTATCTATTATGTCACCTATGAAGGAAAAAAATCAAGGTCTTGCCTCTGTTTGGTTTTTAAGTTGTACATTGTAATTGTGTAAAGTACAAGTAAAAGATGATTGCTTACCTTAGATGCAGTGAGAAGTTTGCTGGTGCATTGACTACAGCCAGCTCACGCTCTACCAGAGATGGACTGTCTCCCACGCTCCCGTCCCCGGCAGAAGGAGCATGAAGGGCCCGGCCTTCCCCAGCCCTGCCCGGAAGAAAAGGCTCTCAAGTATTTGACCGGTCTCAGGTTTCATCCCCTCCTGTTAGCAACAGGCGTGTATCTAATTTTACTCAGTGACATAAACAGCTCATACCAACTTAAAATTGTTTGGGCACCAGTGCCAGGACACAGCTCTCAGTGTGCCAAAAAAAAAAAAAAAAATCTTACAAACCAGCGTTTCAACCCTGATTCATGATAGTCTTATACAACTTTCTAAAATAAACTTTACTTCAAGTGAATAGCAAAGGCATCTGAGATAGTTTCCAGTAGAATCTAATGCTGACAAAAATCTATGAAAAATCACTTCAAATTAACATGCAACATTTTGAACCTACAACTTTATTAGTATTCAATGTATGAGTATACTGTTCTCATCGAAGTGAACTCTATATCATATAATAGTCACTCTTTAAGAATCACTTTCTTTAAACCTCTTTTCAAGTGTGAAACTCTAATATTTGAAGAGAAAACCTTCAATAATGATCAAAATAGAATGTAAACAGTACGCTAAAATTATGTTCTTTTCTAGTTAACTAAATTTATATTATGTCTAACAAATGATGTAAATGTAACAATGTGATCTTGATGTCTTATATTAATTTAAAAAGAATAATAATTAAATCATTCTATTTTTATGAAATGTTCTTGAGGAAAATAGAATATTAAATTTTTGAATAATCTTAATCTTTTATTTTGTATCTTTATATAGCCTGGTTGGCAGCTCAAATTAAAATGAACTAAATTATAGATTGGAATCAGGATTTTAGTAGTAAAGCTTGGGTTCATCTTGTTTGGGATTCTCTGTGCTTCCTGGACTTGTACGTCTATTTCTTCACCTGATTGGGTGTTTTCTGCTCTCATCTTCCAAACAGCTGATTTGTTTCTCTACTTCATCTTTTCCACTGTTGATATCCTGTAATGTATTCTCCATCTCAGTTAATGCATCCTTAATTTATGACTGGTCCTCTTTTATGTTTCCTATCTTTTCATTGAATTTATTGGGGTGATATCGATTAATAAAATTATATAGTTTTTACATGTACAATTCTATAATTCATTATCTGTATCTCATATTGTATGTTCGCCACCCAAAGTCAAATCTCCTCCCATCACCATTCATCCCCCTTTACCCTCCTCTGTCTCCCCCACCCCCTCCCCCTCTGGTCATCACCCTGCTGTTTTCTGGGTCTGTGAGGTTTGTTTTTTCAATTAATCCCTTCACTTTTTCCATCCAGCCCTCAATCCCCCTTTCCTCTGACAGCTGATAGTCTGTTCTCTGTACCTATGAGTCTGTTTTTATTTTATTTCTTTATTTTGTTCATTACATTTCATATCTAAGTGAATCACATGGTATTTGTCTTTCTCTGACTGGCGTGTTTCACTGAGCATCATAATCTCCAGGCCCAGCCCTGCTGTCACAAAAGGTAAGGTTTCCTTCTTTTTTATGGTCGAGTAGTGCTCCATTGTATAAATGTACCGCTGCCTTTTTATCCACTCTTCTACTGATGGGCACCTGGGCAGCTTCCACATCTTGGTTATTATAAATAACACTGTAATGAACATAGGGGTGCATATATTATTTTCAAATTAGGATTTCTGGTTTCTTCATATATATTTCCAGAAGTGAAATTGCTGGGTCATAAGGCAATTCCCTCTTTAATTTTTGAGGTAACTCCACACTGTTTTCCACAGTGGCTGCACCAGTCTGCATTCCCACTAACAGTGTACAAGGGGCCCCTTTTCTCTACAGCCTCGCCAACGTTTGTTATTTGTTGATTTATTGGTGATAGCCATTCTGACAGGTGTGAGGTGATACCTCATTGTGGTTTGAATTTGCATTTCTCTGATGATTAGTAACATTAAGCATCTTTTCATATATCTATTGGCCATCTGCATGTCCTCTTTGGAGAAGTGTCTATTCGGGCCCTTTGTCCATTTTTTATTTGGATTCTTTGTTTTCTTGGTACTGAGTTGTGTAACTTCTTTATATGTTTTGGATATTAACCCTTTATCAAATGTATCATTGGCAAATATGCCAGCCCATCCAGTGGGTTGCCTTTTCATTTTGCTGATGGTTTTCTTTGCTGTGCAAACACTTTTTTCATTTGACATAGTCCCATTTGTTTATTTTTTCTGTTTCAGTACTGGTGTATTTTTGTTAAGCCATTACATAATTTTGCTCATGGGTCTAGGGTTCTGAAATCCACATTTTCTTCTCTTTTAAGTTATGAAAATTTTCAGTTCCACTCCTCCCACCCCCCTGCACCTGGTAGCCACTATTCTGCTCTGTTCCTATGAGACTGCTTTTCTCTTAGATCCCATATATAAGTGTGATATTTGCTTTTCTCTGTCTGCCTTATTTCGCTCGGCACAATGTCCTCAAGGTCCATAAGTGCTGTTGCGAAGGATAGGAATTTCTTTTTTTCTCATGGCTGAGTTACATATACCTGTCTACTTCACTCAGTGGGATCTTTATTTCATGAAGAATGGGCTCTTGTTGAGGTAGAAGTCCCAAGGTAGGGTTCCATTCTTCCTCAGCTATCATGTTAGTACGGGTACAAGGGCAAGAAAACCACACTAAAAGCCGCGCCGATCTTTCTGTGGCTGACTTCAGTGACATTCCAGAGGATGAATCTGGGATAGTCTGGAGCTTTGGGGCAGGGAGATACTGAGCAAAATATTCTGACATTGAATCTCTACGGAACAGGAAATGTTTACGCCTACCTGCTAATGTGTGTCTGCCTATTAACAATCATAGTTTCCCTTAGCGATAATATTTCAGACAAGGTATATACCCATAGTGTATCTTATATAAAATATTTCATTTTAGACAGACAAATAATTGTTCTTACATGTATAATATCTTGTTAATCTTAATAAGATTAAAGATAGATACAGATATAGATATAGATATGGATATAGATATACATATAGATATGGATATAGATATAGATACAGATAGTTTGGCACTCTGTAAGTTAATTCAATGAATGAGTGGACCTTAGGCTTCATCTGGTTCAAGCCCGCCTTTTATGAATGAAGAAACAATTCTTTAAGTGAAGAAAGGGGGAAGCATGTTTAATGTTGAAGGAACTAAATTTCCTCCAAGTTCTTCCCCGCCCCCACTCCCAGTGGAAGAGGCCAGCCTGGTTACTAAAATCAGGACAGTCTATTCACGGAGCCACCATGTCCCCTGACCCACCTGATATTATGTTTTGATGGAAGCATCTCATCACAGAAGTACCCTGGACCCCAGCTCTCAGAACTCTTTGATCAGCTCTTCTAGTCCTCGTGAGCAGCAGTCGCCACGCACGGCCTCACAGTCAGAGTGGAGACCTGCGTGTATCTGTGTGACCAACACGGCACCTTGTGAGTTCCTGAAAGCCAGGCAGGTACATGACAAAAGCAATTAAAACCATCCCCCAAGAGACCAAAACTACAACATTTCCAAGTGCTGGCTTCTGAACACAACTGAGAAAAAGGAGGTTATTCTTTGTGGGAACCCCATCACATACTTTGCTTTAAAAGCATCATCAGGCCCTGACCGGCGTGGCTCAGTGGGCTGGGCATCATCCCACAAACTGAAATGTCGCCTGTTCAATTCCCAGTCACAGCACATGTCTGGGTTTTGGTTCCGTCTCAAATCTGGTGGGGGCCCAGAGAGGCAACTGATTGGTGTTTCCCTCTCACTTCTCCTCTCCCTGAAAATAAATAAATAAAAACTTTAAAAAATAATAAAAGCATCATCAGGATTATGAAATCACAGAGGACTACAACAGAATTCTACAGCTGTATTTGACTCATAGCAGACACTGTTCATGTTTTATCATTGAACCAATATTCTCTGGCTAGTACATCCTGAATATGTTGGTATAAAGCCATACAACATTAAAGGTGAAAGTGGCTTTGGATATTATCTATTGAGTTTTCAAATGAGGAAAAGGAGAGGGGTAAGCATACATGTTTATTCACTAAATGAATGGCATAATTCTAAAATGGGGTTCAAAGTTATATCAGTAATTCTCAAGACTCGTAATAGGTGAACCTATACTTTCATGCTAACCAGACGTAAAGCTCATTAGCACAAACATTTCACAAGAATCAGGAAGCAGGTGGTGGGCATGGTATGCCAACATACTGAGGAAGGCAAACATAATTAATATTGGAAGAAATGAGATTACTGTGAAGCAACACATTTTAAAACTACATTATATGGTGTTTAAAAACATTCTTTTGAAATGTTTTCATATCTCGTTTTGAAAAACAAAATGGAAAAGTCTATGATATTTTAATAGAGGAAGACCAAAAACAGAACAAAAGAAATTTCATAATTCATCTTAAATTATGGTTGCTATAATTTAACATCATCCCTAAAATTAGGAATCCACAGACCAGGTGTTTATAAGGATTAAGAAAGAACAACAGTGCTCTCTAGTGGTAATAATATTGCACTTGCTTAAAAAAAATAACTCAGAAGTACAATAAAATATGCAATAGGTAATAATTTTAAAAATTTCACTCATTATTTGCATGTAATTAGATTGCATTTTTTTGAGCACGAGTTTATTATTATAGTCCAGGATACACATATAACCTGGGAACGTATAGAAAATTCACTCCTGTTCTGGGGCTAGAGCTGGAATTCTGTCTGTGTTTCTGAGCCCCGGGATGCAGGTGAATGCGGAGGGCGATAGCTGTGGCATCAGTGAGTAAGGGCAAAGCAGGAATGAGACCCCTGGAAACAGAAATGAGGGAGTCGGGGCTGTGACCGTTCCCGAATTCAGGCACCACCCAGAAGCCAAGTGACATCCACGTGGTGACTCAGTGGGGACACAGCTCTGATGTGTATGGCCCATTCCCACAGAGCTGCCGCCCAATTATATAAATTCTAAACTTGTAAGAAACGTTCTCGTCTAAGAAAATAAATAAATTAATCAATGCCCTGTTTAGGAGGCAAGATACAAAAGCTGAGAAGGCAGCGTGAAATAGAGTGTCGCCT